GAGTTTTACATATTAAAATCAAACACATGTTTTCATTCACGATATATTCGTAAAACAAATCTGTTCTTTTTCGTGGCCCTTCCATGTACGAACAAATTTAAGCAAGATTAAATAGTACACATTTAAAAAATTATGTGCAATTAAATTGTACGTTAAGGGGTTAACGAAGCTTCCATCAACAAATTGGTATTCTTGATTTTTGTCTTATTTTGGCCTCTAGAATATCCCATTAAAATTTTTAAAACGAAAGCTTTAATAATTTAGTCTGTAAAATTGCTCCAAAAACATTATTCAGCGGGACAGAAATTGTTGAAATTGCAGCCTATTTATCGATACGTATCTTCACTAATGACGCAAGATCATTATTACAATTTTTGCAAAATTTGAGTATTGCAATTGCACAACGCGCGGAGGCAGTGTGCGAGGAAAAAAAATGAACGGCGCTTAAACGAATCCCAAATGAGTATGAAGAATAGATCCAAAGAGAACTGAATTAATAGGATTGTTTAAACAGCAACGTACAGATACTGAAGAAGCTCTGGAAACATCGTATTATTCTGCTGGAAGTTTTTAAAAGAGATATGTAATAGCGCAAGCAAAAGTTTCTCTAAACTTTAAACGCGTTTTTCTCGAAAAATTGTTTTCATTTCATTTTGCAGTGATTGCACTTTTTTTACATACGTAGAAAATATTCCTTTATGCACTGAACCTCAGTATGAACCTGTAAAAGTTTCTAATTTCCAGAAAAACATTTATAAGACAAGCTTCTTACCTTAAAATCTCCATTTTCCGTATTTAATGCCCCATTTTCATAATTTTGATTTTTGTTAATGTTTAAATAGGTCGGTGCAAAGCAGTGGTTATTCCGACTATTTTGCTGTTTGGTACATTCGATTCGCTTTACCTGGAAAAGAAAAATCACTGCAAAATAAAAATAATTTGTATTTGTTTAAGTGCTCGCTACATGGTTGTTTAACAAGATTTTGCAATACAAAATTTGTATTCGTATACATTTTAAGCTACCAAAACATCTAGTAAGAATAAAATTATTTATACCTAACCATTTTTTTTTTTTTAATAAACCTTTATAAAAAGTCTTAATCTGACTGCCTGGTCCCCTTAAAAGACAATCAAAAAATATTTTTTGCGGTAACTCAATTTTAAGAGGGAAAATCACCCTCCAAAGATTGTCCCTCCAAGAGCTAACTCGATAACGGTAAATAATAACAAAAGAATTACGTGTCTTTATTTACTCGAGTAAATAACGAATAATTTATTACGGATGAAATATTCAACTGAAACGAATTTATTCGGATAAATATCTATTCAAAATGATTCGAATGATGACCAACTTTGCTGCCAGGCTCTATAAATCTAAGATAATTCAATATACGAATGCATAATTGTCCCATAACGTAAGTATTACCTATCGAGTTCATAATTGACTATCGTGCCCCGAATCCCACAATTATCAAGTCAGTTATCATGACACTTAGAATATTAAAAAATTTAACAGAAAGTTGTAATCTGTTCACTCCTTATCCGCAACTTACAAACATTACGAAAAAATAATATTATTCTAAAATGATGTGGCGGATTGAGAGCCTCAGTGGTGTAAATCACATTTTAGCTATTTTGCGTAAAATGATGTTTTGCGTTCGTTGTTTAAAAAAATCCAGACACATATTAAAGTTACAAAAGTACTTCTACAAGCTCAAAAACGTGTTAAAAAATATCTGTTTATGAAAATAATTGAAGGATGTTTAAATTCTGAAGTGAAAAATAATGAATACATTTTTAATGAATAATAATTTTTAACATACAATACTATATGTATAATATAATATGTTCTTTAATTTTTATTTAAAAGTATTAATAATATAGAATTATAAATGATTTATATCATTTTCTGTTTCGTCAAAAAAAAAAAGATCGACCATAATCTTGGACTTCCTTGTAGCTCTTAATAGCGTTAAAAAGGTGATATCCCCTTTTTTTTTAAATAGTTAATTTCACGTTGTCCATTTTCGTATAATTTCTCCTGAACAATGTTGTCTAGAGTCATTGGTCGACCTCGCCTGTTAGATTTTATATTAAGTTCATTGAATGGGATATTTTCATTTAGACTATATTTATAATGTATTATACATGGCCTGTCTTTTTGATAGCGAAATCATTTCATTTTTAACCAGTTTACATTATCTCCTTCGACGTTTTTCTTCCTTCTTGTTACAGCTTTTTCAAGAGCCTCAGTGCTACAAAAGTCATCGTTCTACATTCTTATGGCTATTTTTTCAAGAGCCACAGTGCTATTTTATAGCCATAAGAATGCAGAACGATGACTTTTGTAGCACTGAGGCTCTTGAAAAAGCTGTAACAAGAAGGAAGAAAAACGTCGAAGGAGATAATGTAAATTGGTTAACCTCCACCGTCGAGATTTCGGGTTAAAAATTGGCACAAAAGATTTCCTTTCGATAAGCTATCGAACGACTCATCGCTCGTTCAATTTGGTTTTGGGGCACATTTAACCCCCTTATTCGGCTATACCCTTTATTTTGTCCCTTAGCACTTTCTATCTCTATTTTCTATCTCAATTTAATCATTAGGAACATAAATAGTTTTATTTCGATAAGCTTTCTCAATAACACTGAAATCTGGATCGTTCGTAAGATACGAATGGCCAGATATCATAAACTTGTGATCTATTAATTCTACTGTTATGTACAGTTAACGAAGAAAGTACCCATAAACCACAACACGTTCAGTTTAAAAAATAAAAATTTTGATTATAGAAGGCTAGTTAACTATAGAAGGGACACATGCAGTTAGGGAATTAACTCAGCTTTCAGATAATATGAATTTTATTGTAACTTGAATAAAAATACAACAAACAAATCTCAAATGGCGAATTAAGTAAGAAAATCAGCGAGAAAAATATATTCATACAGAATTCTGTTTGTTTGTGACTCATGGTCGAATACCCATTATTATCAATAATCGCTTGTAATCGCCTGGACATAGATTCAATTAAATTATTTGTTACATTTCCCTCTATTTTTTGCCATTCCTCTTGCAAAGCATTTTTTAAATCATTCTTGTTTGTAATTTTATATTTTTGCAAACGATGTTTCAATTCTCGCCATATATGCTCGATTTATGTCCGGCTATTGCGGAGGAGTTTCCAAAACGTGAGGCGTATTGTATAAAAGCCATTCTCTAATTAAATGAATCTTGTGGATGGGAACGTTATCTTGCTGAAAATAGTAATTGTCAGAATGACCTAATTTCTGTGTGCTGTCTTTCAAATTTGATTTTATATATTTAAATATTTATATTGAAATGCAAGTTTCCGAGACCATTTGCGGTCATACAACCATACAGCCATACCATAAGGCTACTTCCACCATGTTTGACTGTAGGTCTAATATTTATGGGCCTTAAAGATTCTCCCTTTTTTCTGTATACTAATTTTCGTCCATCTGAACCCCAAGTATTAAACTTGCTCTCGTCTGAGAAAATAACTTGTTTCCCAAAATCTGATGATTTATTCGTGTAAATTTTTGCGAAATTAAGTCTTTTTTCTCTATTCAACTTAGTGACGTAAGGTTTTTTCCTCGCTACTCGTGCGAAATACCCTGATTCTTTAAGTTTGTTTGATATCGTTTTCGGACAAATTTTGTTACCAGTTCTTGCTTCTAACTCTGCTGCGATTTTAGGTGCCCTTTCAAATGAATTTTCTTTTATTTTCTTTGTAATAAATCTTTCATCCCTTTCAGTTAACTTACTCGGTCTCCCGGAACGACGCATATTTTCAATTAATACTGTACTTTTGTACTTATTAACTATATATTGTACACTAGCATGACTCTTTTTTACCATTTCACCAATCTCACGAAGTGATTTCCCACTTTTCCATAATTCAATTACAATTTTTCTTTCCTCTACTGTAGTTTCCTTATTTTTAGCACTCATTGTGATAGAAATTATGATTTTTTAACAAACCACGCTAAGAATTGACGAAATGCTATGAAACAAAAGAATTAGAAATAAAAGAAAGACGAGATTCTCCCATGATTTTGAGTTTTATTGGTATATTTCGTCAATAGATGTCACGTGTGAATACTTTTTCTCGCTGATTTTCTTACTTCATTCGATATTTGAGATTTGTCTGTTGTATTTTTATTTAAATCATAACCAAATTCATACTATCTGAAAGCTGAATTAATTTCCCAACTACATATGTGTCTTTCATAGCTAAGTAGTCTTCTATAATCAAAGTTATTATTGTTTAAACTGAACGTATTGCTATGTATGGATACTTTTATCGGTAACTGTATATCCTGAGTACGATTTTATCCCGTGCATGCATCGCTATAGATAATCACATGTTTTTTTTATGCTCTTTAATATACTATTGAAGTCGATCGTAGATCCAAAACGCCATGTAATCGATCGGTGAGGGCGCCACCATAATGCAAGCGCATGCGCCACCTTGATTTTGTTAGTACGTCTTGCGACACGTGAGAGAGATGTACCAAAATACAGTTTTCTTATAAAAGGTTATCTCGAGTAAACTATTTCTTCTTACCCTGTTCAACTTCTACCACGTACCTCATGAACATATGCTTTACCAAACAAGATGAATGGCGTAAGGCGGACTTACACTATTATGGTTCGAAATGCTTTGCTAACTTTGTTTAGTGTCAAACACACGTTTCGCCATTTCTCGGCAAAGTATGAACTTACAAGTAAATCGATTTTGATGATAAATAAAAAACAGCTTGAACGTTTCAAATCCAGTGTTAACTCAAATTTGATGAATTTGGACTTGCACTATGACTCTCAACCCGCCATATCAGAAGGTAACTAAAGAGAAACGCAAAACGATTTCGAACGAACAATTTGTGAAACTGTTCTCTATTCGCGAGAAATTAGCAAAAAGAAAGTAATCAAGTATACAGGGAATTGTTGACGCCAACATTTTTTTCTATGTTTTTCAGGAATGTCAACCCGAATTTCTGCACGACCTTGTCCTAAAGATGAAGGCTTACATATTCACGCCTGGCGACTCAATATGTCGGAAAGGTGAAGTAGCCAGAGAAATGTTCATAATAGCGGACGGAATTTTAGAGGTAATTAGCGAAACGGGCCGAGTTTTAACTACTATGAAAGCCGGGGACTTCTTTGGAGAGATTGGAATACTCAATCTGGACGGATTAAATAAGTAAGCAATTTCAACTACTCACCGCCTTATTTCTGAACCGAGTATCGCCTACTCTTTCCATCTTGCACTTTTTAAACTCTTCAAGAAAAACCACGTGCACGAGATTGCTTTTGAAACACACTTTTTAATAAACTATTTCAATATTTAACGAATTAACCCCTATAAAAATACTTAAAAAAAGTTGTAATTTACTCCTGCGATAACTTAAGTTATTATAAAATTATAACGATCCATGATTTTATGTATAAATATTAATGATAACGATAAATAATTAATGTTTAAGTTATAAAAGTAGTCATAAAGAAGTAGTTGCTATCGGATGCATACAAAATTTATTTGAAGTAATTACTCGAGAGCATAAAGTTTCTAATATAATAGTTTAAATATGGAACGTACAAACAAAAATTTGGATAGAGACTGACAAATGGGAAAAGTTATACAAAATTTGTATTTCCACCTCGTTATTTTGTTTGCCAGAAAATTAACAGACTGAGAATTTCGCGAACGTATGACGTGCAAGTTCTGTGACCGCTTTATACGGTATATGAATCGAAACTACGGAAATTTATCCAGGAAGTGCACAGTTGAAACTGCTGCTGCGATGAAAATGCGATAACGCTTAAAGAATTGAATCGATAAAACCACCTTTCAACTTTGTCCTTTTTTCATTTTTCTCGTTTCATAACCCTGACATATATGTATATATGTATAGCTCGTCCTACTTTCTCGTTTCACTATTTGTATATCTGGACGCAATATATTTCGAAAATTATTTCCTATCTCAACGACTCCCAGAGGCGTCGATGGATCAATTTTTAAAAATTGTTCGATTTATTTTCAACGCAAGAGAAAATCCTTGAATCATTTCCATAAAAAAAGAACAGCAACATGTATTTTTTGTTCTTCATTATATCTGCAACGAGATGATCACATATGAAAATAACTTTTTTTTTCAACCAATACCAATAAATTACGTGAAAGGAGATTTACGACAGTACCGACTAATTATCAACTTGCAAAGTATGCGAAAGCATATTATCTAAATATGCTATTGTTCGGTTTAATATTTCAATCTACGAGTAATCCTCTTTGATAAAGAGACGAACTGAAAATGAACTTTCTTCAACTTTGTCCCGCAATCGAGTAGACTTAATTGAATTACAAAACCTAAGAATATAACGAATTTAAAGTAAAGCAAAGATAGCCTTAAGCTACTGTTGAATAATTAACATATATGAAGTCGATCGTGCTTCGAAATTTACGGACTCGATTCGTAACTATCAGAATGTCGATCCTGTCCATCTTAGATAGTAAAATTGTCAAATATTTTTATCGATAAAGTATACTTTATGAGTATCTACTGTTACATAGAACTACAAATGAGAGGTATTCTTTTAATAAATGAAAAACAAACAAAAACTGATAAATTGAGGTAACACAGTGTAATAAACAAAATGTGGTAAAAATAAATGGGAAGAATTCGTAAGAAACAAGTACGAATCATCGCAAATAGTGTACGAATACGAGCGTGAGTAAGTGTGTATTAAAAAATTCTGACTAACAATCTGCTTAGAAATTTTAATTGACAGTCAATATTTCGTTCAGAAGTTTTGAATAAAATATTAAAAAAGAAAAAACGCTGTTCATTAAGTATCCACATTGCTAGTACACGAATGTGTGTAGGGGAGACCGGGACTAGAAGTACCAATTTGAGGAAACATAAAAAATGACTAGGAAATAATGTAGTTACTTTTTTCACTCCTGACTATTTTATTTTTAACTTTATTCTATTTTTAAGTTTTTTAAGTTTTTCATAGAAACTCGTTTTTTGTGATTAGTCGAAGCGGGACTTCTTACCCCGTCACGGGGCAGGTTGTGATTAAGAAATAAGTGTTACTTTCTAATGAGACATTTCATTCTCTAATGAAGTAAAACACAATTTTATTAATAAAGTTTGTTTATTACCTTCGGATTAACACAAATGTACAGGGTGTTCGGTCACCCCTGAGAAAAATTTTAATGGGAGATTCTCGAGGCCAAAATAAGACGAAAATCAAGGATACTAATTTATTGATTGAAGCTTCATTAAAAAGTTATTAAAAAATTAAATTTAAAAAATTTCAAATCGTTCTAAAAAAATTATTTTCGGCTGAGGGGGTCTATTACAATTATTTTTGGTCAATAGACATTATAATACAACCGAAATCCTATGCACTTTCGAGAAAAAAATTCAGTAAGTGGACAAATTTTTCGTCGAAGTTAACAAATATCGAATCATTGTAAAAAAATTATTTTCGGTTGCGGGGGTTAATTACAATAATTTTTTGTGAACAGACATACCCTCGAAATCCTACGTACTTGCGAGAAAAAAATTCTTTACCGAAAATATACTGTGTGGCCGGAAATGTTTCTACAACTTTTTAACGAAGCCTCAATCGAGAAATTGATATTTTTGATTTTCGTTTTATTTTGGCCTCTAGAATCTCCCATTAAAATTTTTCCCAGGGTTGGCCGAACACCCTGTATACTTTTAATAACTGAAATAAAAAAAATTGATTTTTTTGAGGTTTCACATGAGACTGCCTCCTTAAATTATAAATAAAATTTATAAAAATGGGTACGACAAAGTATAAATTATTAAAATTGCCCTGTGTTACTTTTGACAAAGAAACTCGCAATTGCAGACGCACAGCCGATGTTCGTTCGGTAGGTTACTCCGAGCTGTTCAGCCTCTCGCGCGAGGACGTTCTTGCGGCAATGAAGGATTACCCGGAAGCGCAAGAGATCCTTCAGAATCTCGGGAGGAAACGGTTGATGGAAGCGCAGAAAGTGGCGAGAGCGACGCGGCAGCCAACATCGCCTGGTCACGATTCGTCGGACAACAGCACCGGGAAGAGGATCGTCGAGAAGTTAAAGAGCGACGTGAAGGGTTTGAAAAACGTGTTACGGAAGAGTAGACGAAATACCAGGCCAGAGGAGAGCCTCGAGCTGCAGCCATTGACGCTAAAAGCGGCGACGTTGAAAAGACAACAAAAGTTCGACGACACTCAAGAACCGTCAGCGTCGAACGTTCACGAGCCACCTGTGTCGCCATTGGGCGCTGGTTTGCCGCTGCTCGCTAGGCTGCGATTACTAAAGGAGAAGGAGGAACGCGAGGAACGCCGTAACTTAATGGAAACGCCGGTTCACGTGCCAGAACCGCAACCGCCGCCACAAGAGGCTCAGAACCCGACCAATCCAAATTTACCTTTTCTCCAAAGAATACTACTGTTGAAGGCGAAGAACGAGCAAGAAGCCCAAGCCGACAAGGAAGCGCCCACAAAGGAGCCTCTGCTCCCCAAGAACGTCATACCGGAAGAGACCAAAGAACTGTCGCCCAAACCAGTGTTGAAACAGCCGCCGAAACAGTCGCCCACGCAAGTCTCCGTCGATCAGACGACCAAACCACCGACAACCTCCGTCGAGGAGACCACGAACAGCACCAACGCCAAGAAACCCTGGGCCATGCTTAAAGACGCGTCGTTAACGAATAAAGAGAACTCCCCGCAGAGGAGCCCGCCAAACAGACGATTGCACATCAGGCAAAGTCTTGTGCACCTGAGACAGCAAACTAAAATGTACGCGTCCGTGGACGATCTCTCGCCGGAGTACTGCGGTCTGCCGTTCGTCAAGAAGCTCAAGATACTTAACGAGAGACAGAAGTTGGCGGAACTCGAGAGAGCGGTACGAAGTTCCAGCCTCGATTGCGGCGAAAACACCGACCTCGAGTTCGACGGGAATCTAACGAGAAGTCATTCAGAAGCCTGCGCCATCGAGTACGCAAGGAAATTGAAGAAACTGAATCAGGTACATGCGCGTTTCACTTTTCTCAAGTTCTTCCGATTCGGCAGCGAATTGTGAACATTCCAACGGCATATCATATCACCGTAAACCGTTTGAACTGCTGATTGCATTGAAAAAGACAAAACTTGAATGATTTCGAGGCGATCGTTATTTGATGTAATTATTAATTTTGTACGTGGAGGCATAGATGAAATTTGAAGGTCAAGTTTGTTTTTTTAAATGAAATCATTTAGTTTGTAATTCTCTCTAAGAAAGTACATACAAAGCTAGTTATTTCGAAGAAACCTTTATATTAAAAAATATTTTAATTTAAATATTGCGGAGTACATACACAACTGCAGTCACGTCTTTACTACCACTTACCGATGGAGTTCTAGTTTTAATCAGAATTTTATCGATATTGTTATAATCGGCGCTGTTACATTATGTATTACGTGTTTTTAAATGGAGATATACATTTTTTGATACACTAATCGATTCAGAATGTCAAAAAAGCAATGTGAAAAACCTTTTTACTTCAGGAGATATTTTAATTTAAATATTGCGGAGTTGTGGTACAAATGCAGCCATGTTTTTGTTTCAATTACAAGGGATATTTTCCTCTAAAAAGTGATAGAGACTGAAGAGTAGGATTTATCTGTACTATTTTATGTATTATTATGTTTACTATAGATAACCTTTGCATAGAAATTCAAGTAAAACGTAATATATAATCTAACAATGAAATCTAATCTGAAATATCGATGAAATTCTGATTAAAACTAGCATAGACAAGGTATACGAGTAGACCTTACACCTTATGGACTTTCACGGTCCAATTCGAGAAACTATTCACTAAATTAGTATTGATGGGCAGACAGCTGTAGTATGTGCGTAAATACATGTCAGTAGACTATGGGAGGGATTGAAAAAGGCAATCCAATATTATCAGACGTCAGACCAGTGTCCGAAGGAAACTGCCCCTCCACTTACACAGACTAATGCATAGCCACCTTGTATATGACTTCTGATGCTTTGCATAGCTTCGGAGATTCGAGCAAAAAGTAGTTTATTCTAATGGTCTCCAACAATAATAAATGTATTTCATTGAAATTTATTTATGTAGTAGAGCACATGGACACCTACAAAAAAATATTAAACAACATTTCCATAGAGCCTCAAACAAATTTATTACAAATCAAAAACAAATTTTTAAGAATAACCCCCGTAAAAATGGCTCCAATCTTCAAATGACCATAACTCTTACAATTGTGAGTATATTTCATTGAAAATTATTTATGAAGTAGAGCTCATGAATACCTACAAAAAAGTATTAAATCACATTTCCGTAAAACGTGAAAGAAATTTATTAAAAATCAGAAACAAAAAAAAAAAAACTCGACGGGGTAGGTGCAGACACTTCCCGGCGAAATTGAAAAATTTCAAATCATTCTGAAAAAATTATTTTTGGTTGTGGAGATCAATTACAGTTATTTCTTGTGAATACACATACCTCCGAAATTCTACGCATTTTTGAGAAAAAAATTCTTTACCGAAAATATAATGTGTTGTCAGAAATGTTTCCCTGAAATGCGTATACATATATAAAAAATCATAACTCCTGAACGGTTTGAAGGATTTTAATATTTCCAAACGCAAACAATGCGTATTTTCGTGAAAAATATTTAGAAATTCTAAAGTGAGAAAACCTACATAAAAGTGGTCCAATTTTCAAACGACCATAGCTCCTACAATAATGAATGTATTTCATTGGTCCTACCTCCTGGCATTTCCTTAGTTTTCGTTAGATCGCTTACCTTGATGTCAACCTCATTGTTGACCATCTGTGACCATGATCCAACCATTGTTGACCATCGAATAACCAATGACTTATTAAAACCATCACGAAGTCGAAGACTAAAGCTTTCTTAAAACGATCCGTTTTCAATTTGATGCGACACGATCTTGTAAACATTATGTTCCACTTTGAAGGAGTGTATGCCAAGATTAGGAAATAAAAGAATAATCTTTTTATAATCTTAAGAAACACCAAGAAATTCATTAAAGCAGTACTACTCCAAGAATGATAGTTAACAGAAACTATGATGAAGTCTAAAGTCCATACTTAATGATTTTATATTTCCAATGAAATTAATCGATCGATGCCCAATTCTGGGCCGTACAGCTTTCATTCTGTTAAAAAACAATGAAATTTTTGTAATTTCATCTTCTATTTCCCTTCCTCTTGTGTTAATTTGTGTAACCTGTTAATAATGTTGTGAGTGACACGAAAATAGTAATGGAGCTCTAGAGCCCCAGAAAAATGGGTCGAAAAAATACATTGAATCTAAGGTCTACTCGTATACCTCGTCTGTGAAACTGAAACTCCATTGGTAAGTGGTAAAAACAACATAGCTGCAGTTGTGCCACTACTCCGCAATATTTAAATTAAAATATCTCCTAATACAGGTTGGTTCACCTAAATATCTCCCCTAATTATGGGGGTACAAAAAATATCTTGTATGCTATTTGAATGGTTTGAAAAAACCATTGTATTGCAAAAAATATTTATTTTCTAAGGTAACTTTTTCGAAGTTTACAAGGTTATCGATGCTTTTTTGCGTATAATTTTTTTATTTCATCGTATATCTAATGTAAAAATAAATTCAGATATGTACATTACATGACCTTGAAGTGACCTTTGAGTTGAAAAATGAAATGGAAATAAAAAATGTTTACGTTGTGCGAGAATCCGTAAGTGTAAATAAACATGCTAAGTTTTAAACAAAAAAATTTAATTAAAATCGTACCAGCAGAAGTTGACTGAATCAGATGAACTTCCGATAAACAGAATTCTAGGATAAATGGGCATCTTTCAGAGTCGACGTGGTCAATTGTCACCGACGGATCAGCTGTCACCCGAGAACGAGACACTGGAAAGGCGGAATTTGAAGAGCATTCTGAAGAAATTGTCGGCCGGTAGCAGGACTGGCAGTTCCGAAACATCGGCGACGAGCACGCCGGATCGCGAGGCTGCCACTGCTGAATTGAGGAAGTTAATGAGGGCGCCGACTATAGAAGGATACGCCGCGCGACATTCGAAGCTCTCGAAGAGTGTCACGTTTAATAAGTATACGCTGCAAAGTCCGCCGTCCGAACAGATTCCAGGAAATTATCCACTTGGGGCTCAGTTGTCCGACTCCCAAGAGCAGGCCTCACTGCCACCGCCCAATAAACTCAGTTTCCGTCCTTTGGGCAGCGGAGGTATCCTGCAAATGGTATCTCGGCCACGAGAAGAGGAATATATAGGGGATCTGGTGTCTGGTATCAGAGAAGTTATTAAAGCTCGCCTGGTACGTTCTCGTATTTTCCTTCAAAAGACTTTCTTTCGTAATTTACAATTTTATTCGGTACCGAATAGAAGTACAGTCACTCACATTGAAAATCGTACAGGTTGTATCGTAAGAAGTACTGACTCGGTATAATTATGGGATAAGAAATTTGGTCGAGAATAAATTAGTAATCTATAACTTAATGCTTGGTCATTTCTCGTACGAAGAATACAAAATTAATTATTCTTTATTGATGAAAGAAACAATAACAACATTAGGCGTAAAATCATCGTCACAGTCAAAATCGTACTGCGTAATAATGTCGCGTTTGTTTGAACAAATGCCACACAATGTTTTGTTCTTCATTTGTTTCTCTATTCATTGGCTTCAGTCGAATATCATTGTACAAGTTGAAGGTGGTTCTTCGACTAAATAATAATTGAAATATGAGGCAGACGATGGTGGCAGAACGTGAACTTGTGATTTATCATTTTAATAATAATAAATCATATAGAGACATTGCTAAAATGTTAAATAGAAGTGATTCTACTATACAATATATTAGGTTGGGGGAAAAGAAATCCATTATTTTTCACCTAGATGGATGTAGTGATGAATATCTCGTAAAGTATTGACCAAACATATTAAGACTTGTGGTCGTTGGAAACGTGACATTCCGTACTAAAAAAAATTCTTTTACAGTTTTTTAGTTGGTCGATTCAGCTGTAAATTATAGGGTGTAAAAGATGGAATTTAATAAAAGGCGAAAATGCGAGCCAGGCGGCTGAAATTGTGATTGGTGTTTATGGTATCGATACTGTCACAGCCAATTACGCGCAATTTTGGTTTCGTCGATTTCGTTCCGGTATTTTCGATGCTAAAGATGCACCTCGCACAGGTAGGCCCAAGGTAAAAAATGTCGATAAAATCATGGCGATGATCGAAGAAGATCGACATGTTAGCAGTCGACCATAAAACAGTTTTAAACCATTTACATAAAGCTGGATTCAAAAAGAAGCTCGATGTTTGGGTGCCATACGAATTAACGGAAAAGAACATGATTGATCGAATTTCCATCTGCAAAGCTTTGGCCAAACGGAATGAAATCGAATGGCAACAAATTATAAAACAAAACAGTACATATTTGACCCAAGTTGGACAATCCGAATCATGTTAAATAAAGTCTTAAAGTAAATGTGAAAATAATGGATTTCTTTTTCCCCAATCTAATATTAGGTCGGGAAGAAAGAAATCCGTTATTTTTAAGTTTACTTCAAGACTTTATTTAATATGGTTCGGATTCTCCGGCTTGGGTCAAATAGGTACCGTTTTGTTCTATAGTCTGTTGTCATTTTAAAGGTAACTTCGTAATGCCTCTCTCATCGAAGCCCTGGTCCCTATTGGCGAAAAACTCGACTAAGCGATTTTCACAATCTTCTCTTGATACCAACTTCTTATCACTAAGGAAATTTTTCAAGGACAAAAAAAGATGGTAATCGCTTGGTGCCAGGTCCGGACTATAAGGTGGATGTATCAAAACTTCCCAACCAAGCTTCCGGAGTTTCTGGCGAGTCACTACAGACATGTACCCTTCTGTTGGCCAATTCTGGTCGATCGCTAACTTCAAACGGTCCAATTGTTGACAGTAGAGGCCCGAATTTAGTGTTTGGTCATATGGAAGCCGCTCATAGTAGATGATAGCTTTCCAGTCCCACCAAATGCACAGCAAAACCTTCCTGGCCGTTAGTCCTGGCTTGGCCACCGTTTGAGCCGCTTCACCATGCTTTCACCACGATCCTTTTCGCACATTGTCGTATATGACCCATTTCTCATCCCCAATCACCATCCGTTTAAGAAATGGGTCGATTTCGTTCCGTTTGGCCAAGGCTTCGCAGATGGAAATTCGATCCATCATGTTCTTTTCCGTTAAGGGGCCTTTCTACCTTGTGGGATTAAAAAAATCGATATTTTTTTTTTTGCATTTTCCTTTAGTATGTTGTCTCGAAAATATATCTACCAAATATTAAATTGAAATTTGAAAAACTAACGAAGTTATAACCTGCTGAAATGTACCGCGCGGAGGTATAACAACTGGACGTGAAACTTTAAAGCTGTTTTTCTCGAAACTACATTTTTCGGCACTGCGTGCGTGATAACTAAAAAACTATTCAAGATATCAACATCAAATTTATACAGTATCTTCAGAACTGGTCTCCCTATAGCATGAACTAGGATAATTGCGATATATGCAATACTTTTTCTTTTATTAACAAAAAAGCAACCAAATATATGAAAATATTCAGTATTTTTTCGTAAAATAGCTGCCATTTTGCCATTTTTTGTTTTTTTGAAAAGATCCTAGTTCATGCTATAACCACACTCATCTATATTAAGAATATCGTTGGTTTTAGGATTTCGAATAACTTGTTCGCAAGATATCACGTACGCAGTCGGGTGCCGTTCGTAAAAACTGTTGTTTGATGATTAACAAAAACAGCGTAATCAATAGATATTATGTGTTGCAAAAATTCGTAAATATAGCTAAATATATAATAAATGTATCTACAAAATCCGGAATTAATCGCTCTTTAATAACCCGCAAAAAAAAATCACAAAGAAACACGTATTTTTCATGCCTACAAGGTAGAATGGCCCCTTAATTCGTGTGGCACGCAAACATCGAGCTTCTTTTTAAATCGAGCTTTATGTAAATGGTTTAAAACTGTTTTATGGTCGACTGCTAACATGTCGATCTTCTTCGATCATCGCCATGATTTTATCGACATTTTTGACCTTGGGCCTACCTGTGCGAGGTGCATCTTTAGCATCGAAAATACCGGAACGAAATCGACGAAACCAAAATTGCGCGTAATTGGCTGTGACAGTATCGAGACCATAAACACCATTCACAATTTCAGCTGCCTGGCTCGCATTATATATTAAATATACCGAATTTTCTTTTTGTTAACATTCATTTTTACATTCTATAACTCACAGCTGAATCGATCAACCGAAAAACTGTAAAAGAATGTCACGTTTCCAACAACCACAAGTCTCAATTTGTTTGGTCAATACTTTACAAGATATACCGCTATCATACTAAGTATATCGCTACAGCCATCTAGGTGAAAAATAATGGATTTCCTTTTCCCCAACCTAATATATTAAACAATTATTAGTTTAAAGTTGCGGAGGGCCGCAGCGGCCCCAATAATCCACTTAAGGGTTAAAAAATCTTTTCAACTTCAGCTTCCAACGAACGTTTCCCGTCGCGTTAATCCATCCATGTGACGCAAATTTCAGGAGGACATTCAGTCAAAATTCGAGCGACAGTTCATGTCGTTGGAGCTGGAGATTCGTAAACGGGACGAGATAATATCTCAGCTGCAAACGAGGATACAAGAACTGGAGCAAAGAGAGCGAAACGCGGACGAGTCGCTCGGCGACAGCACGGAACACGACGCTTCGTTGGAAGAGGATTTGGACGACGATCGGGAGGATCATCCTTTTATGAGAGACGGTTCGGTGGACACTGTTCTGACCACCCGTCCCCATTACAAGCGGTCCTCCTCGTCCATGGAGTCCGCCTCTCATAACAGGAGGTCCTGGGAGGAGCATTCCGAGGAGGAGACGTTGGAGCTCCAAGAACTACCGAGCTCCATCGTTCCTCAGAGCTTGTGGAAGGACGAGGTGGCGATCGACTTGGGATCGAACAGCGACAGCAGCAGATCGGAGGACGAGCTGGACTATAGAGCCGGAAGAAGCGACAGCGGTAACGACGAGGACGACGAGGACGAAATGAACCAGGGGGGGCACAATAATTGGGAAGTGGCGATGCTCGCTCAGGAACTCGAATCCAGGCGGAGGAGCAGCGAAAGCTCCAGCCCGGGTTCCTAGCGTATTAACGAGATCCTAGATGTACTGTGTTACCTCACGAGCACATTGCACCCCGAAGGCTGGTGCAACCAACCGGCTGCAGCCGGTAGTGCAGCTTTTTGCGAAAATGATTGCCCTTACTTACAATTAGACTTCGATAGTTTGACCAGTTGTAGCGAGACTATGATGTAATCTTGTCTTAATCGTGGAGATCGTTCCTTTTCTATGACTCTGGCCGTCTACGTCGAGACTCGAGGCCAAAAACACGTTAAGCATTATGCCTGTAAAATCATGAATGTAATTTACATTTTATTCGCGCCCTCTCTCTCTCTCTCTCTCTCTCTCTCTCTCTTACGCTCTCTTTCTCTCTCTATGTGTATACACCGATACGACAATTACTTGTCGTGGTGTAGTTCTAACGAGCCTTTGACCACCGATAACCACCTCTTTTCTTTCACATTTTTTAGCCGAGACCGATGTCCTTCGCGTCTTTTAACAAGGTTCTAAGATTCTTTTCGACGATATTTATTTCGCTTGAAACGATATTAAAATTTTACACCCATCGCTAGAATCTTGATTTAATAAAAGTACTTATGCATATAATAATTTCGAGAAATGAAAATAAAGTACGTATACTTGTAATGTGTCTAGCGAGTAACGTTATGATTTTCTTCTCCAATTTTAAAGTTCATAGTGATTTAAACTTATATTTAGATATTCATATCTATTATAAAGACTTAACTAAAGATAATAAATTACGAATCCTTTCAACTACTGTTATCGAGGAATAAAGAAAATATTTCTAAACGTTATGGAACGTGTACTAGCGAGACTACATTCACCGTATTGTTTAAAATTAATTGTCAGTTCGCGATTATCTGCCTTAAATTTTGTCGATAACTTCGCATTGATTGTCCATGTAAAGGACTGGATGCCAAAGGGTTCAAATAGATCCCGGAAATTAATTCGGTAAAACTGAAAGTTCCCTAACGATCCCGCGACTATACAGGCTGTTCAGTAATTCGTAGTGTAATCGAAAAAGGGATGGTTTCTTATTAAAAAATACATGTAAAATAAAATTTGTTTCGCGATGGTATATGAAAACATCGGTTTTCTGTAATTTCAGCCAGACGGATGGATCTGTATTTACAAACATTGATAAAGCTACAAAGTGTTAGTTCTGATAACACGGATTGAGTTGGTCGATTAAACACGCTCGAGCAAACGTTAATGCGTTACAATTCTGATTCATCAATTTTCCTATATACAATTACGAAAACATTGCAATATTCTCGGCGTAAACAATTCTTTTAATGCACTACCAAAATAAAAATTAAATGATATCCATTCCTTCGAAACGTCAATGTATAATAAGTGTTTCCAACAAATGCTAAAAAATTTGCTACTTTTTCGGCTATATTACATATTACAAAACACCCTATAGAAATATGTAGTGTTATCTCATGAGATATCGCGTGTATGGTACAAATTACGATTATTTTATATTATATTCCTCTAGTTATCCTTCGACATCATTAATTATGATCGATCGTAGTCATTTTTACAGTAATTACTGATTTTACCATTGTCAGTATACTTTGAATTTGTAATGTTCAGTATACACGGTGTAAAAACAATAGAAGATGAAATTTAATTTCCATAACGTGATTTCTCCGTGGATTTAAAAAATTTTAAAACAGTAACACGAATAATTATTACAAGTAATTTTTCCTCCTTTTTCTGTTCTCACAGCTGTTAGAGTTTATTAATTTTCAAATGTTTTACCAAATTTCTCCTGTCCATGCGCAAATAGCAGATTACAATTTCAACTGGAACAATCGATTAAGTTATTTTATCACCTAATGTGCACAATAAGTGGCTAAGTATAGTTATCCTCTTAATTGCAAAAACGAATGAATTAGTGAAATTTATCATTGGAAATTAACTTTGCTTCTGCTTTACTTATCATTTTCTGATAAATTTACGATTTAATAAGATTCAATAGAATATTTTATATAATTAAAAACAGTTATTGTATGTTTCTCTTTTTTTACTTCAACGCTAACGATACCTTTTTATTTTAATTACACAAACATTTCCGTCATATGTAAATGAAGTTTTAAGATTTATAACTTTCATTGATTTTCGTGAAATTTCTGTTCCATAAATAATTCGCTCGAAATTTACATTTTATTCGAATTATTCAGCCCTTGAATTGTAAATAATCACAGGTGCCTGAGAGGATATTATACTTGGGATATTTAGAATTAAAATGTAAGCACCTATTTCAATGTGTAATTGTGTACACCGGACGGACATTAAGCGATAAATTTAAGCTCTTATTCCACACTAGGATTTCACGAAAAATTTATTCGATCGTAAAACAATTCTTTTGAATAATTTGTCTGCTACAATGAATAAACATAACGTATCATCAATTTCTGTAATAAGATGCTTGAGGTTTTCAGGGCCCAGGTTCTGATATTTGATACTGGCTGAAGCTTACAGGTGTAAATCATGTCCTTTGAGGAAACTGATTCAATGTTTCGCCAACATTACAATTAGCTTCTTTAGATTTCGAATGAATTACTGTGTCGTTTAATCCCCGAGAAAGTTAGCGATGTTGGTAAAAGGTCGGAATACTTTCTTCAATGAAACACGACTTACGCCCGGAAACCTCGATCGTTATCAATTTCTGTAATTATGCATACTTTTCATTTACAGAGCAATACGTAGTCCTATATTTCTCATCCTCGCATAAAATCTTTGTTAATAAGATTTAAATAACTGTACATTTGTTGTTACAAACAGATATATCTATACATACATATAATATATACACGGACACGCGAATACCCAGATGTACATACATACGTATAAACGAAGAATTTTAATTTTAAGATATCAAAACACTACTTAAGAATTCTGCAAATTTTTCCGTAGATCTAAAATTTGCGCAATTTTTAATTCTCCTCCCGGCCCCTCATTCCTTCCACGATCATTTACATTTTTGAAAAGCTGCACCACAATCGAACAGAGAGATATTCGGTACCACGAGGCGACGAGTAAAATAATTTCGAAAATGTGGTATATATGAATACACACAAACATACACACGCATATAATTTAATTAAAACGATAAAACTTAATGGGAATATGTGACGTATACTGACCAGACCAAGCTCAATATTTCTAGAGTCTTTACAAGGTGAATAAATCTGTTAAGTGACAAATGACTATTATGTAAGAGAGGAAATCTATTAAAATCTTGTACATACTAGCCTATAATTTATTTATCTATGAACACGAGGAAAAGAGCGAATGTTGATTTAGAGTATGACGAAAAGTAGGAAAGGTGTGATTACGATATGTTAGCGTGAGTGAGTATGCGTGCGAATGAGAGAAAGAAACGAAGGGAGAGGAAGTGAGATCAGCGCGCGCAAGTGCGAGTGAAAGAAAACGAAAGCGAGAAAGGGGAGAATAAAAGATGCGCAGGGGTTTCGATGGACTATACGGTGAAAAGCATTTTAGATGCTGATATGTACCTACTACGGGAATGAAAAGAGTATATAATAAAGTAAACAATGTTTTCAAGTCTCATATTTTTCTTTCGTGTCACCCGACATGACAATATTATAAAATATTAGATTGTAAATGAAAATTAAAAATTCCATTTCCTAAACATGATGTGCATATAGTACATCAAATGCAACAAGACACTTTAACAGATAAAAAAAGAAACTAAATTTATATAGCTTAAAAAATAACAGAGTTATGTGTCATAGGGTTGAAATTTAATTTACAACCTAATATTACTGACACGTAATCAAGGATAGTGAAGTTTTTAAAGTTAAACGTCGCTAAAGGTTATTATCGACGATGCTATTACCTTATACTATTTGTTCGACAATCTTGATTTCTTCAACACACTCAAGGAGATCGTGAATCCTATTTATTTCGATGTTATCATTAATCGTAGATCCAATTTGAAATTTGTTACGGTGAGTATTATACCTAAAGTATTTTCGATATTCAAATAGAGCGCACTCGAAACCGCGATATATATCGAACGCGACGTGTGACTAAGTTCGACTATAGAGTCGCTACATAACCTTGCAATCATAATAATAACAAAAGCGTCGCGGCTGAGTTTTGTTATCAAATATTGTGCATAGTTTTCGAGTGATTTCCGAAAACGCGGCGTTTTGTTGTGATGTGGAAAACGTGATTTCATCTGCAGTTTTCCAAGGATGGGCGACATTAGGGCCGGTCTCGAGGAATTAAAACTTGACGGGGCTCTGTTTGCCGACGTTAAATACTACGTCAGCGGCGAAGGTGATCCCAAGGTTTGTCATTTCACCGTTTCCCGCGTTTTTCCGTTTGCTTTGATGTAATGTCATCAATCTCGCAATATTGACATTAGTGCATCGTAACCATTGTGAATTGCAATTTGCTCGCAATTATTTGAAACTAATCGCGATACGTGCGATAGAGGTTATAAAATGGAGTCAAATTTAACAGACTGTGACACTGTATGGAAACATGAGATTTTTAAAAATTCGGATTTCTACGAATTTCTCCAATATGCAGTTCTTTTATCACAAATTAGTTGAGTTTAAGTAATTTCAATTGTTATTATTTGTAATCACAATCCAATATGTACAAAATTCATCATTAATGATGCAACGATTCAACTAATATAACATAATTCATAATCTGTGTATAAAATGCATAAAATGATTAATAGTTGGTTGTCCTAATACATTGTATTTTTGTATGCGTATGCTTTTTTGAAAAATAAAAGCTTAATAGTAGATAATGCATAACTATATTGTCAAGATAAAAAATTGTTAGCCAAACAAACATTTTCTAACTGTTTACAGATATTAAATTTACTACAAGAGGGCGGTGCAGAAAGATCAAATTATTTTAGTGATTTTGTTACACATTTAATAGCAGGCTATGATGCATTGGAAAATGATATATCTGCTGCTAAGGATATCTATGAAATACCAGCAGTTACGCAGAACTGGATTTTATACTCTGTCAAATGCAACAAACTTCTGCCGTATCCTATTAAAACAATGTTTATTTGTTTTTAAGTAATGCAATTATTTAATTAATAAAAGCATTACAATAGTTTAATGTTGAAATAATAATAATAATATATTCTCTAATAAAGAGAATTAACTTATATATATTACATATTATTTTTCAACAGTATAAATTAATTAATTTCCTTAGCTGTATCATAAACATAGACCACACTATTTTTCACCTGAAAATACACAATTATTTTCGAACGTGCGAGCATGTGTATCTCAGGTAAGCCGTGCAGATAGTAAAAGCCTATGGGCAATGATCACATTGCAAGGTGGTAAATGTCAATTACGTTTAGACCGGTATTGCACACACTTAATTACTGGAAAAGCTGCTGGCTTGAAGTACGAAACTGCTACTAGACATCCCATTCAAATTGTAACGCCAGATTGGATAACAGAATGTTGTAGAAAAGGGAGTATCGTAAGTGAAGTCGAGTATCATCCTAGACTTTTAATATTTTCAAATAGTTCAACAGCTATGATTACTGGCTTTATGGACGAAGACACGGAAAATAGTACTGCGCAAGAAGAACAGGATAGAACTAAAGCTATGTTGGAACAACTTAAACAACGTATGCCTTGGAATCAACCAAGTCCACCTGTATCTTCCAATACATCGCATAGTATTAATACAGCTAATATAACTGTAACAACAATTCCTTATTCAACAAATGGACAGAATACTGTTAACGTGCAGCAGCAACATCTTTCACGTCCAATTGCAACTACAAGTTTGTCTAATGCCTGTACAATCGTGTCTTCTGTATCTGATCAAAATGTTACGCAAACTGGTTGGCTACCGCAAGCTTCTCAACAAAATAATGTTGCACAGTTGAAATCTGTGTCACAAATACAACAATCAGAAATAGCTCCGCAACAACAGCAGCAGCAACAACAACAACAGCAGCAGCAGCAGATTAATATACAACATTCATTATTACAACAGCAGCAGCAACAACTGAGTCAACAACAACAACTGTCGCAACAACTCGTCCAACATCCACAATTGCAACAAACGTATACTCAGCAACAACTTTTAAATCAACAACAATCACCTCAGTTAGCATCGCAACAACAATTAATAGGAGCACAACAACAGTCGCTTGCACAGCAGACATTGATGCCGCAACAGCAACAACAACAAATAAATCCACAACTACCTCAACATCCGTTGTCATCCTCCCAACAGTTGCTTACGCAACAACAAAAACAATTAAATCAACACCAGATACTTTCCCAGCAACAACATTTATCTCAGCAACAGCAAATTACTTCCCAGCAACAACTAGTTCAACAACAACAAGTGCAATTATCGCCGCAGCAACAAATAGTTCTGCAACAACAACAGCAACTTCCTACGCAACAGCAACATCAATTAAATCAACAACCATCTCCATCGCAACAGCTTACAACAGAACAGCGACAGATTATATTATTACAACAACAGCAGCAACAACAACAAAAGATTCAACAAATTTCTCAGCAGTTGCAACAATCAGCGCCTCAAAGTGCTCAGCAATTTGTTATAAGGGATGGCCAGTTACAGCAACAACCTCAAAATCAACAAATAATGGGACCGAATCAACAGGGCTTTATCGTGCAAAGAGATTCGCAATGGCAACAACAACAGTACCACATACAATTACAAAGACAGCAGCAACAACAAATTGGTTCTCAAAGGCCGAGCGGACAATGGACGCAACAGCCGCCCCAACCGCCAAGGCAGTTGATTCAATTAGATGCACAAACGCATCAACAATTACAACAAATGGATCCACAACAAAGAGCCCAATTTATTCAAAAGATTCAAAAGCAGAAGAACTTAATACTGCAAAGGCAAATGCAAAATCGCCAAACTCAACAAGGAGCTCATATTGCTGTTATCAGAAGTCCAGGAAAGCCAGTACAGCCGGGCGGTTTACAGTGGGTTCAGCAACCACGACCTCAAATAGTAGGGCCACAAATCGCACAAACACCCAGCCAAAAACCAGTACATCCTGTAGTTCAGCCGCCAGCTCTGACACCGCTGAATTCCACCAACCCAGTGATAGTACAAACAGGACAAACCGTACAAGGACCACAAACAGCTCAGAATAGTCAAACTTTCCAACAAGGACAGCCTTTGACACCTCAGCACATAGCGCAGTTACATATGCAAAAGCAACAAATTGCAAGATTGCAACAATTACAGCATTTGCAGCAACAGCAACAACAACAGCAGCAGCAGCAGCAGCAGCAGCAGCAGCAACAGCAGCAGCAGCAAGGTGCACAACCAGATCCACCTCTGACACCGTTATCTAATAACGTTCAGATACCGCCTGACCAACAATTGGTCGTCAATGCTAAAACGAAAACCGCATTGGCGAACATGCTGACGAACAGATTGCAAGGCAGCGCAGCCGAGGGCAGTGCAGCCGGTCAGCTGAGACTAATGACAGCACAACATAGACCACCGCCTCCACCTTCACAAGATCCTCAACTGCTTGCTGCTTACCAACGAAGAACTGTAGGAAACATTACGAACGGAACACCATCCGGGGCGCCGATAAAGATGCAATACGCTCCGGTGATGACACAGGCTAAAGCTCAATTCTACGGACACAATCCAAATCTAAAACGTATGCTCTCTTTACAATCTCTCGCACAAGGTGATGTGGACTTTTTACGCCACAAAACCTTTACACATTACCGAACTAACTAAATTTTTTGAAGCTCTTAAATTTTCTTCCTTAGAAAAATTGCGGAATTTCGTAGACATACAAATATATCTGGATATGTACCATAACAGTCACTGTAAGAAACTAATAGCAATTTGACGTGATGTTTAAGAATTACTGTAAAAGAACTCTTCACTGCCGTTCTTTTAGTATGCCTATTCACAACAGATGAAAATGGTTAGATACGGACGAACGGCTTCTGAAGTTATCTCGTCGCTCGCTGCTTCTTACCTCTGACGCTCTTTATCTTTCTTCGGTCATTTTGTGTCAAATTAAACACTTTTCGATGTAACATTTTGGACCTTGCTGAAATTTGGATGTATTGCAGCATTTAATGGTATTTAAACACATCTCGAAGGAATTTTGACAATTCAAAGATTTTAAATGTTTCTTTCGTTGCACGAGCGACTATACAATCCATTTTACAGACAAATTTTGTACATTTACGGCACCTTTTCACATAAATAACTTACACCTCTTTTGAGGGCTAGATATTGAATATAAAAACTTTAACTAATTTCTGTAAATAACATTTTTCAAAATTCTTTGGAACGCGTTTAACCGTTGCTATAAGATATTTCACATCCGAGTTCCATCGAGATTCAAAATGTTACAGTCCGTTCACAGAATACGGTTTTTGGACTAAATCGGAAATAACTAAAAACAACGTTCACGCAGTTCTATATTTCCGTCGAAAATTTAATTTTCGCGCGTATATTTATTCTCTTTGTTTATTTGTTTATTCTGTTTATTATTTCTGTTATTAAAAAGGGTTGAACAGAAAATACTATACAGGGTGTTCGCCACCCTTGGGAAAAATTTTAATGGGAGATTCTAGAGGCCAAAATAAGACGAAAATCAAGAATATCAATTTGTTGATTGAAGCCTCGTTAAAAAGTTATTAAAAAATTACATTGAAAAATTTCAAATCGTTCTGGAAAAAATTGTGTTCGGTTGCGGGGATCAATTACAATAATTTTTGGTGAATAGACCTACCCCCGAAATCCTACCCACTTTCTAGAAAAAAATTCAGTACGGGCGGAATTTTAAACGTTGATAACTTTTTAACGAAGCCTCCATCAACAAATTAGTATTCTTGATTTTCATCTTATTTTGGCCTCTAGAATTTCCCATTAAAATTTTTCCCAGAGGTGGCTGAACACCCTGTATCTATCTATCTTCTTTTGATTTTGGATTGTGAAATTCGTTTCTGGCCAACGATAAATGTGAATCTAAACAAGAGATTACCATCCCTCTTAAACTCTTTCTACGTTCGAAGCGCCCGGTAAAACACAAAGGTCGTTTTGCCCTTGCGTTAAATGTGATTCTAGGGACCAAGGGAACGCATACCTGAGGAACATGGAAATATTATTCAAATTATGTCGTGTTTGGTTTCGTTTTAATCAGAAAAATGTCACAAATATATTAAAAAAAATTTATGCAAAAAGGACCCTCAGAAGGTTTTAGCCGTCGCACGTTTTTTATTAAAAAGTTATTAATAAAAATGTGTTATTAGTATTAGACTAGAATCTGCGTATACGTATACTCAATGTGAGCTTGACATTCACACAGTTTATGAAGATCACACTCTTGAGCATCCCTCCAAAAGTTATAGCTACCTCTCGTTTTTTATTAAAAAGTTATTAGTATATAAAAATTACCGGAAACAAAAAACAAGAATATGGAATTTCGTTCCATGAGCCCTGCGGAGCACAAAATAAAACATCCCCCACGAGTTGAACAGTATCATATTAAATTCGTTTTGCTGATTTTAATAAAATATAATTTAATACAATTGTTTTATTTAAATAAATATTGTTAGATTGTTGGATACATATATATATAACGGTTTAATAATAATGAACAATACAGAAGTGATACATGTTGGTGCACGCAACAACGCACGACGACCACACAACAATCTCGGTGGAAAGCGACGCAACACTCATGCGCGCGTTCTCACTCGCGCACACTCCTCTGCACATACTCACAGGCGCACGCTACGGGATGTGTGACAAACTTTCATCAAATATGTTATATGATTTTTATATACCACTAACTTTTTAATAAAAAACGATCGACGGCTAAAACCTCTTGGATGTTACTCAGAAGGGTGACCTTGACGACATATATCAAGGTCTCGAAGCTGCCTCCCTTAAACGTAAGGTTTACCAAAAAGAATATTCGTACCGGATTGTACTATACTACGTGGAGACCGAACACGACCCTTACAATTAGCCCTTCTTCGTCGTTCGCTTACTATCCCTCAATATCTCTTTCTATGTTCGAAGCGAATAGCAAAACACAAAGAACGTTGTCCCCTTGCGTTAAATATGACTTTTAACCCAAGTAACGCACACTTAAGGTGGGAATACTGTATAGCTTGTCTCAGTTTCATGGGGCACCCTGTATATCTAATCGTAGAGTTATCTGAAAGACCTAATAATAATTTGTATTCCAACTCCCTGTTTAATAGAAAAATAAATTAGTTAAGATATGAAAGTCGAAAAATTGACCATGAATAACCGTTGTATGGTGGTAAACTGATCGAATCGGCCAAAAGACCGTATTATGTGAACGAACTGTTGTACCAAAAAGTGCTCGATTTGGCATGGAATGGCTCTTTCGCAAATGACGTTTCGTTATTTGTATTTTCAGTGCCACCAGATCTATTTTTGCTAGGTTGTATCTTTGTTATCGTTGAATACGACGTGCAACGTCCGAACGATGTTTCCATATGGAAGCAAGTGATCGAGAGACACGGCGGGGAGGTCGAGCCTCAGTATTGCACGCGTGCTACTCACGTGCTGGCGATCACGCAGAAACATCCGACCGTAGTGCAGGCACTGCGCGAGGGGAAGCGCTGTGTCAGCGCTCACTGGCTGTCGGACGTTGTCAGTAAACAGCAGGTACTGCCACCATGGCACGCGCTGCATTTCCCAACGCCGTTCAGTTTGACGGAACTGCCGTGCGCGAAGCAAATCGTCTCGTTGTCCGGATTCGAGGGCGAGGAACGCGCGAAAGTGAAGTATATGCTGGAAGCGTTGGGATCAAAGGTCACCAATTACTTCACGAGACATAACACACTCCTCGTTTGCAGAAGGTAGCGACATTAACTTCTTCTGGCTAGCACAATTGTCGAGCAATTCTACTGGTTGGTCCAATAATTATTGCCATCTTAATGTCTCTGAAATTAGGAGAGTCGAATGTGAAAATTGCATGGGGGCCGACGAGGTCGTCGTATGGCGATGTACAGGGTGGTTCCTTTAATCGAGAATGATGGAATATCTCTCAAGGAAGTTAATAGAAAATTGTTTGAGATAGAAGTGGACATTATATGGTATGAATAGTTTTTTTCTAGGTGAAGTAGTGGAGAAGATTTCAAAGTCAAGAAAATTACCGTTATTTAAAAAAAAAAAATGCAACATAAAAACTTATTCACGTAAACGGAATGATATATTTTGTCCTTAATACTGTGATAAAGGTTTTTTTCAGAAAACTCCAAGGATCCATGAATGGGTCGTTGAAGGCAGTTTCAAATTCTTATCTTGTAGATTTCGTTGCAGTATAAGATAGTAAAGGTGCAATTGCAGAGAATTTGTAAAAGTTCTTCTGTACTCCCACTTCTGTACTCTACATTTCGGAGATATTAAAATGGCAATAGTTGCTGGTCTTTCCTGTTTAAGGTTTTTGCGAAAGATCTACTTAATCACAAGTAATAATTAATTATTATTTTTACTATGCTTGCATTACTAGCCATTTGTGTACATATATAGGGACGGCAGTAAATTTATAATCTCTGGTGTTATTAGTGCAAATTTTTATGTTTTCGTTGAAGTAACTAAGATAAATTTATTACCATTCAGAGTTAAAAAAAACCGTCATCGAATCCAGGAAACATAACTATAAATGTATTTTTCATCTTACTTTTAATCTCTCTACTTTTAACAATATGAAACGAATAATAGGTCGCTTTTAAATAAGTTTCAAATTACTAAAACACACAACGTTCTCTTATTTCACTTCTTAAATATTTGAAAGCAATTACAAAAGTATATTTAAATTTATTTTAGTCGCTAATCGTAATTTCATTTATTTATTCGACAATTGTATTTCCTATATTCGAATTAACTCTGGAGTAAAATTAATATTTAGAATAATCATTGTCAAGATTAATATTTTGTATGTATCAGTTATAAATAAGGGGATATAAACTTAAAAATTTTATACTCAATATATGAATAAGTTAATCGTTGGTTAAAGAAACTTCTTGAATGCATTTTGCAATTGTCAATTAAAAGTCTGTAACCAGTGGTGTTTGCAATATTAAAATGGAGCAATATTGTACTTAGTAAAAGGTTTTTGATTGAATTTTTGCGTTATCGTATTTGTAAATTCTTTATTTATTAACATCATAAATGTTATTTGTTTCAATATCTATTTATAAATATTTACTTAAAAACCAAAATTTCAAAGGTTTGAAAGAAATAGTTTGCATGAGTCGAAACGAGGATTAATAAGACGCGCCTGCGTTTGTTTCATAAAAATATTCTATAAACTTAAGTCGTCTCTATATACATGGCTGATGGTATATGCGTCTGTTACGCTTTTTAACATACTCTCATTTCATGAAAAACATTTCAGACCGGACGGTCAAAAATATAAAAAAGCGCGGGAATGGCAAACTGGGGTTGTAAATGCTCAGTGGTTAACGGACTTGTTGTGCGGACAAATGAATGCTATTCATCAGACCGAAAACCCTAAATATCAACAATATAGCCTGAGCAATCCCTTTAGATTGGATTATTCGCTAGTGCCTCATTTAATGGGTATCGTGAACATTGCAGATTATGTTGTTCCCTTACGATAAAAGATCATAGTTATTTCCTACTATTGCCTGCATTTCTCATAAATCTTGAATTGATAGCTATATTAAAACAATGTTTCTTTCAGCTGCATGGAAGATGCCAATAAATATTACTCAAGAGTCTTACGATAAAGTAAAGCAGGTTGGTCAGGGTCCAAATTCGATAAGAAAGTATAAAAAACCGCGATTAGACGGTCCGTTATTAAACAAAGATCCACATTTGCTGGGTTTAGACGAACCTATAGTCGTCAGTAATCCCGATCCTCCGTCTCTGGATAAACAACCGAGAATATTATTCTCCGGTATCAATCCTCGAAAACATGCGAAGGTAACGTGCATCGAATATGCTGGCACAGTAAAATCTCTCGCTCGCTTATTATTCTGTACTCCTGTACAAGGTTTCTGATCGAATGTTTGCGTTGCTGTATTTGTAAATTCAATCACTTACTATTATTATTATTATTGTTGTTATTTATTAAAAACTAGCACTTCACAACACTGAAATAGACAGTTTGCATGAGTTCAAATGAACCCCAAGTCCGCTGAACGGGGATTAAAGAATAACAATGCGACAGTGGTAACTGTTAGAGTTAGGTGACTTGTTAATCTTTGATGTTCGTTTGACAGAGAATTCGGGAATTAGGTGGTGCACTGGCAGCCAGTTGGCGGGACGCTACTCACCTCGTAATGTCAGCACCGATAAGGACTGTAAAATTATTATGTTGCCTGTCACGTTGTAAATATATTGTCACGTTGCAATGGCTACTCGACTGTTCGGCGAGGAACACGTTTTTAGATGAAAGTGGATACATGCTTGGTGATCCAGAATTCGAGAAGAATTTTAATTGTAATATTGAAAAGGCTCTGGCGAGCTGTAACCGGGGAACAGTACTTAAGGTGATTCGTTTGCATTACCTTACCAATTAATAATTGTTAAAATTTAACCCTTTAAAAATATTAAACACAAATAGATCATTGCTTTAAGGTGATTTATACGGGGTGTTCGACCACCCCTGGGAAAAATTTTAATGGAAGATTCTAGAGACCAAAATAAGACAAAAATCAAGAATATCAATTTCTTGACCGAGGTTTCGTTAAAAAGTTATTAGAAAATTACATTCAAAAATTTCAAATCATTCTGAAAAAATTATTTTTAGTTGCGGGGGTCAATTACAATTATTTTTGGTGAATAGACATACCCTCGAAATCCTACCCAGTTTCGAGAAAAAAATTCCGTACCGAAAATATAATCTGAGGCCTGAAGTGCAAATATTCAAAATGTCATAACTTCTGAACGGATTGGAAGATTTTAATGTTCCAAACGGCAAACAACACGTATTTTGGTACAGAATATGTAAAAATTCTAAAAATATTTGGAAAGTTGCTCCTTAATCCCGTAAAGTGAGAAAAACACCATAAAAATGGTTCAATTTTCAAATAGCCATAACTCCTACAATAATAAATGTATTTCAATGAAACTTTTTTCTGGCGTAGAGATAATGGGTGCCTACAAAAAAGTATTAGACAACTTTTCTATAGGGTGTCACACAAAATTACTAAAAATCAAAAACGAATTTTTAAGAAAAATCGACAGAGTGTAGATGCCTGGCGAAAACAAAATTTCAGATAGTTCTAAAAAAATTATTTTCGGTTGCGGGGGTCAATTGCAATTATTTTTGGTGAATAGACATACCCCCGAAATCCTACTCAGTTTCGAGAAAAGAATTCCTTATCGAAAATATAATTTCTGGCCAGAAATATCTACCCGAATTTTCATGCGAATCTTTAAAACTTTTGTTTCAAACGGCAAACAGCGCGTACTTTGGCGAGGAATATGTAGAAATTCTATCAATATTGAAAAAGTAGTTCCTTGACCCCGTAAAATAAGAAAAACTCCACAAAAATGGTCCAATTTTCAAACAGCTATAACTCCTACGATAGTGAATATATTTCAATGAAACTTTTCTCTGAAATAGAGCTCATGAATACGTACAAAAAAGTATTAAATAACTTTTGTGCACAGCATCAAACAATTTTATTAAAAATGAAAGACGAATTTTTAAGGAAAGTCAACAGGGGGTGCCTAAATTTTTCGGCGAAGAAAAAAAATTTCAAATCGTTCTGGAAAAATTATTTTCGTTTGCAGGAGTCAATTACAATCATTTTTGGTGAATAAACATACCCCAAAGAGCCTGCGCATTTTCGAGAAAAAAATTCAGTACTGGCGGAATTTTAAACATTAATAACTTTTTAACGAAGCTTCCATCAACAAATTAGTATTCTTGATTGTCGTCTTATTTTGGCCTCTAGAATCTCCCATTAAAATTTCTCCCAGACGTGGCCGAACATCCTCTATAAGGCAAAATTAAGCAAAGGAAAAATGAAAAAAAAATATGTGATTTTGAAAAGAACCAAAAGCAGTGGTCAAAATATTAAGTTGCAATTAATTCTACGTGAAATAGAAGATTCATTATAAATTTGTTCTTACCCCCATGGCAAAATAGAAAATATTGAATGAAGGTGTTGATATAATTTACATTTGTTTGATACATCTTCTTATCAAACAGGGTAAAATATTTTATGTCACACCAAGTGTGGTGCCATCGCCATCGGCGATCGCAGAAATTATCGAAAGCGCCGGAGGAACGATGGAAAAAACGCGGAGGTCTCTCGCGCAAATCCAAGAAATGAATAGTAATAAATTAACTTATGTCATCGTCACTCATGAGAATGATCTTCATCTTCTTTCCGACGTTTTACGTGCAAATATCAGTAAGTGATTCTACATAATTCTCTAGTTAATTTGTTGGAATAATACTTCGTAATATTAATTCAGAGTGTTTCGTTTATTTAAACTTCCTTAATATCTCTGTTGCTGTTAAGATAAACGAAACACTCTTTCTAATAGAAAATTATACGTTCTCATTCATTTGGAATATTTCTAGGTGTGTTCAGTGCAGAAATCGTGTTAGGAGCAGTTGCACGACAATACTTCCAACCTGAACAAGTATGAATACAACGCAGTTCTCTGTGTACTGCATTTTAATCCCTGATACGAGCTTACTAAATTTCTTTAGTAAGCTATTTTAGAGATGAAATTTTTGCTTACCTTCTTCAATGGGACAATAAAGAACATAATTTTATGATACAGAAGGAACTATTTTCACTAATGCATTCCAAACCTCTCCTTTCATGCTGCTTTTTTAAATACGCATATTTTATAATAACGTCCTCGAACAAATTTTTATAGATTTGATTTTAATGTAGAAGCATATTTAGCTATATTGTGTATCGCTCATTACAATTGAAACGTATTGTTTTAATTAGCATTTTGTAGTTATTTTTTACACGACAATCTTAAGCGCGCATTACTCGTCACTTTTTATCGCATATTATCATATATACATATAAACATATCATTCTAGTTTATATTATATTATACACTTATTTTCCTCCATTCAATAAGTCCGCTTATGCTGTCTTTATAAATATATGTAAGAAATGATTTTATGTGTAAGTGTGTATAACTGCAAATAAAGAAAAATACACGTCATTATGTTCTCTTACTGATGTCGGGACGTCGTTATTTTCAGCCTTATCGGCGACAGTTATTCTAAGACTCTCTGTGCACAGTTTGTGAATTGTATAAACATGATTTATTTATATTTAGCGTATCGGCGATATTTTATTGTAGAACAAATCGAACGTAAGGAAAGTATAAAGTTTTATTAACATAGAATGAATCTCGATCGATCATATGACCAATGAATTTCTAACAAACTTCCATCTAACAATATATACATATTGCCATTTAAAAATATAAAAGTATGATACAATTATTTATAAAGAGGGGATACCGTACGCGAGACGAAACAGTTCAATTTACATGCTAGTGCGATAGATTTACGCGTTGTACTTATTTAACAAAGTATGCTATTAATTAAATCTATGTTAACAATAAATATTACGCATACGAATAAATGGAAGAATTAAAATACATTGCATACACTGTCTATCCTTACAAATAAAATAAACAGATCGGGGTCTGTATAGGTTTGTACATTTCCTCATCAATATCGCATATACTGATGTAATGAGAGTTGTTGGAAACACGATCTAAATAAAACTAACCTAGCCTTCGAAGTACATTTTATTCGCTCTGTCGATGATATCGACGACTAGAAACGCGTTCGATAGATTTACTTGTACGTTAACACAGAATACATGATCGGTGGACCTGTTGATTGGCTCGTTGATACTTTGCATATTGGAACCAACTGTTCGAAACGTCCCGTGTTACGAAAATAATTTAAATGTTGATCGATTACCATGTTCACAATCGTGGAACGAACGTCTACGTAGAAAGCTGCGCTTCTATCCAGTCCATGTATTGCGCGACGTCCGTGTAAACCACGTATTGAGACAAATCGCAGGACATGTTGGCTCTATTCAACAGCGATAGCGAAACGACACCGCGCAAGTAATAGCGATCCGTGATAGAATCGTACATAACGAAGCCACTTCCGCTGTCACCGTTACAAGGACCGCTTCCGTTCCTCAAGCCGGCGCAGAACGTCCGGTTCGAAGTTATGGACGCGAACTCGGCGTTGCTCCATAGGCAAACCTCCTGCAATTCGTTCAAACGATTAGTATTTTCAGCAGTGTTGAGCAAAAGTTATTTACAACAACGAATAAATTCAATTTATTTGTAATTTACAAACGGCAAATAAACTGACTAGTGTGATTCACGAACAACGAATAAATCAAAATTATCCATTATTTTGTTGAGCCGTTCATAACCTCGCGGCAATAAGCACACGGCCAAATTACGACACCTATAATAAGGTTGAAGATCGTACGAGGATTCATTTGTTCGAGCCACATAGTCAGCATCGCAATTACTGCAATTTATTCATATTAAACTATAAATACCTAAAGAGTAATTAAGGTGGTTGTGTTTAACATTTAAATATTGTCCATATATATTTATTCAATCAGTTTCTATGCAAGAGGACCAGATATTTTCCAACATATTTTTCATTATTGAATATATACAATTTGTGATTATTTTTGTTGGCGAAACTCTTTCAAAAGATATCTATGTACATATATGTATATTAAAAATATTTTTATTCCAGGAAGAATTTGAATTAATCATGGAACGATTGATAGAAATTAAAGATATTTGTCAACACACTCACACATACAATCACTATAAAATACTTGTGTTTCCATTATCCAATCGTTCTAAAATTTTGCAAATATCAGTTTTTCACCAAGTGTCATAATTTAGAAAGGTAAGAACATGTCTTCTACTAAGGAAAGATTAAGTATTGTAGGATTTAAAAAAGGGAATTGTATTTGGAACAAATGTACAAATGATATAATTATATAAACGAATTTGAAACACACCAAGCACACAATCTTTTTACACAAATTAAAATCACGTCTGTCTTTCACAATCACTCATTTCTCACTCCCTGTTGTCTCGCTGTTCCTAGTAACCCCTTCTTTCTTCAACAAAACACTTTCAACTCTTTTCCACATAAATTAACATTGAACAAAACTACAGCGTGGCACAAACATTCAATACAAATCTCCTACAGTAGTGTGAGATAAATGTTGAAGATTAAAAGTACCATTCTTCCACGAGAAGAAGGCACAGTGTGTTTACATCCTGTTGCAGTCTGTTGACTCACAGGTATTGGTCGAAAACGGTGACGAAGATGGGTGGCGGCCAATCAGCGGACTGCAGCAAGAGTGGGGATGTAAACACGCTGTGCCTTCTTCTCGTGGAAGGACGATATACAGGGTGTTCGGCCACCTCTAGCAAAAATTTTAATGAGCGATAGTAGAGGCCAAAATAAGACGAAAATCAAGAATACCAATTTGTTGATGGAAGCTTCGTTAAAAAGTTATTAACGTTTAAAGTGCCGCCATTACTGAATTTTTTTCTCGAAAATGCGCAAGATTTCGGGGGTATGTCTATTCACCAAAAATGACTGTAATTGAACCCTACAACGGAAAATAATTTTTCCACAACGATTTGCAATTTTTTAATTTTCTCGAATAATTTCACACCTTCTCTATTTTTTTTCTCGAAAGTGGGCAGGATTTCGTGGGTATGTCTAATGACAAAAACTGATTGTAATTGACCTCCGCAACCGAAAATAATTTTTCCACAACGATTTGCAATTTTTTTTCTCCGTTGAAAAATTTAGCCACCTAATTGGATTTTCAGTAAGGAATTTTTTTCTCGAAAGTGCGTACGATTTTGGAGGTATGTGTAATGATAAAAAATGATTGTAATTGATCCCCGCAACCGAAAATAATTTTTTTAGAACGATTTGAAAAATTTTTTTTCGCCGAAAAATTTCAGCACCTACTCGATATTTTTTCTCGAAAGTAGATAGGATTTCGGAGGTATGTGTACTCACCAAAAATGATTGCAGTTGACCCCCGCAACCGAAAATAATTTTTCAAGAACGATTTGAAATTTTTGAATTTAATTGTTAATAACTTTTTAACGAAGCTTCCATCAACAAATTAGTATTCTTGATTTTCGTCTTATTTTGGCCTCTACTATCGCTCATTAAAATTTTTGCTAGAGGTGGCCGAACACCCTGTATAAATATACATAGATATGGTAAGTGATGTCACCTGAGACACAATCGGAGATACGTTCATTCGAGGCTCCTGGACGTAGGAATTTCCAAATTCATCGCGTCCCCAGCCCACCACGACTCCCGACCTTCCTACAACGACATCCAGATCCGTGGATGCTGTCCAAAGACAAATCGGTTTGATCGTCGCGCTGTATTCCACCCTCTCTCTTAAAATCAACACTGCCAGATCGGAATCGGAATTAGTCCGCGATTGAGCGTTGACTCGAGGCCTGTAATCGGGATGAAGTCTATACTCGGCCACATGTCGGTTTACAGAGCCTTCTTCGTTCCACTTTCGCAGTTCGTAACGTCCCAAAGAAATCGACAGAGCCCCAACGTGCACGCTCGTGTTTCCCAATTGAAAACAGTGCGCGGCTGAAAAACAAACGACCAATAATAGAATGGGACACTTATATTTGGAACAAGATGTCAGATCCGTGCAGATTAGCACGATTAAAAAATACACGGATATATTAACATACACGTGAACGGGTCGGGTATAAGAACTGTATAATAGAACACTATCTTTCTCTGCGAGGTGTCACGCGCTGCCCACGCAACACACAACATTTAGATACACGTGAAATAGGGATCTCTAGTTTTCAGGCATAATAAGTGTTGCTCTGGGTCCTGACTCTTGATGTACCTGGGCTATTATGCCTACAACCGTTTGATTAACACAATCACAGAATTATTAGTCCTCTCAACACTTTGTATCATTGAGGAAAGGTACTGTGGTCCGCTGACTTGAAGTCCCGCGGGACGAAATACCGCCCATCTATCTATCTTGCTCCCTTGCTCTCAGGCAGTCCAGATGTGTGTGGTAACTGTGAGTTCAATGTGTACGTGGGAATAAGTGTATCCCTTCTACTTTTCTCGCATTCCTGCCACGGGGCTTCAAGTCAGCGGAGGGCATTACTTAAATGACACATCCTTAACTGCAAGTACAATTGCATGTAAAGACGTTTTCACTCGTTAGAAATTGCAAACGTACATAAGCGTTCAAATATTTTTGCGTACGAGTTTACATATGACTGCAGGGACATTTTCTTTTAGGTCTTTCTTTCCAAATTGAATTTAGCTTTTATTATCTACTCTCGTGAAAAAAGTAATTCCGTCATTGTCCAAGATTTGCATACCTGTAATAATGTGAGTGTTCGTCACAAGCGATCCCGCACACTGGAAGTCGAAATTGTGCCTGACGATAAATATTGCAACCAACCAAGGCCACTGACCCGGTGACGTTCTCCCACCGCTTACTACCATGTGATTAATTCTGCTATTGGCAAATGGACGACCACAACCCTCGTTGATACTATTCAATTTTGGATTGGATGTAACGGGTTGAATGGTCGTCGGTTGAGTTGGAGGTGGTTGAACGATTGGCGGCGGAGTTGAAACGGGTTCCACAGGTTGTCGAAACGCGTTGTCTAACTTGGAATATGTTGAAATCGCATTCTCTTCGTTCGATAGGACTACTAACACCCCTGGTGGATACAACGTATGGTTCAGCATGATGAAGGTGACAATTTGCCCACTTGCTGAAACGAAACAAATGGTTACTGTAACCTGACAATTTATATTGTGATTAATCATTAATAAAAAGTGATAATAACATCTTCGACCGATAAAATGATCTTAAAATGTTTTCCAAGAAATGTTTTCTTATCCGATTAGCTGCATTAGTTTACTTGAAATTTTGCATACTTTATCTTCGATCTATTCTTGAACTTTTAACAGAATTCAAGAAGTTCGAAGTGTTAGAATCGATGATTCGAATCGACTTACAATTCCCGAAGCGTTGATAAACCCAACTATGATGATAATAAAATGTTGAAATAAATTTTTCAAAAATGATACATTTTATAAAATTTTGTTACTGGAAGAAGCTTACGTACCGCGTGGACCGGAACAGAGTAGTTCATTGTTGAACCACAAAGCAGTTACGGTTGGTATTGGACGACGAAGAGGAAAATGGATGTTGTACTTCAGGGACCTGCCCTGCTGGATAGCTTTTACTGATTGCTCTTTCGACTGCGCCAATTCTAATCGGCCAACGTACTTCTAAAACAATTCAGCAAAAGTATATGTATGTATATTTATTTGTACACTTTGTAACATAAACAATTTGTACATATTACTAAAACTTACTACAACAAATTTAATTTAAGATAAACTTAAATATTTGAATCTTTTAAAAAAATGATCTACAAGAAATCAATAATTAGTAGAAATAACCACGTAAAATAATATTCCTACGTGTACTTCTTTTAAAAATTAATTAATGTTATACATTTTATATCGTTTCGTTATTTTTATTATCTTCCTTCCTATTTTCTAATCTATACTTCTCTAACTTTTCTTTCTTTTACTATTTTTAATGTTAAATTGATAACAAGCATTTATCTGTACAAAGAGTTACTAAATTATATACCTATATCTTTAATGGAGTTTTTCAAAATGTCAATCAAATTCAATATTTTGCAAGAGAGCTCCTTTAACCGTAAACGAGTTCATTGAGTAGAAAAGGTTCGCTCACCGTGGGTAACACGACGGCGATGCTCAATTTTATGCTAAGATGCAGAGCAACTCCTTTTGGCGGTGATGGTATCTCAATACGTCCGTTGAATATATCTGTCTCGTCGTCTTTCATGTAACGGAAGTAATTGGGAACGCATACAGTGCGATCAGCCGCCTCGACGATCAACTGAAGAAAGTGCACCAACAGTGCAACCTTGACAATGACACCGACCATCCTGGACTTCTACAGCACACGCCAACAATTTATCGAATTAAATCTCGGTAGAAGCGTTGTCTTACGATCAACAAAAGTATCACTTTTTTTAAATGAATTACTAATTGAATATTTTTTAGAAATTTGGTCCACAAGTTGATGCGACTCAGACATTGGAAATTAATTGTTCTACGATCAATAAGAATGATAACGCTCTTAAAGAAATCGCGTTAATTAAATGTTTCCCGAGCATTTATCTCACGATAAAATTTATCAGAATTTATTTTAAAATAGAGAAAACACAATCTACATATCGGACGATTCGACGTTTAACCGTAGAAAATGGAACATAGTTTCCTCGTTATGTTTCCGATAAAAGTTTCAACGATTATTTCATATCCTGACATAAACGAATGATTAAACTGAACTAATAACATAGTGTATTTATTAGAAATTTGTAACAATAAAGAAATTGTAGCACATTTTAAATACCGAAATATCTGAAAAACTACCAACTTTATCTAATTTGTAACGCAACAAATAATAGGGGAAAATTACGAATTACCTGTTCACCAATGATATACGTGGACTAACATTTTAACATTTTCGAATCAATCTCTGCTAGTTTTTTTTATAGTATGATCTAATATTTAAAATATGTCAAAACTTTATAGTAAATCATTTAATTTACTCGTTTGTATATTAATTCTATAGTTCCAATCAGATAATTTGGAGAATATAAAATATGACATAAGATTTTAGATTTTAATATTGCTGAGAAAGATGCTATATGCATTTCCTGAAACGTGAAACAACAAAGACAAAAGAGGGGAAAGGTGTTACTGTGTGAATATGCTTATTACCACTCCAGAAGTTACATCTGAACTACTGTGCGTAAATTTTACAACTTAGAGTTAATATTTACCTAAAACTATTACACGTGATTAGATTATAAGAAAAAATTAAATAAAGCAACAATTTTGCATAATTGTATGGTGAACCTTACGTTTATTACCCTCCTGAGTAACATCCAAGAGGTTTTAGCCGTCGCTCGTTTTTCATTAAAAAGTTATTAGTATAAAAATTACCGGAAATAAAAAACAAGAACATGGAATTTCGTTCCATGAACCGTGCGAAGCGTAAAATAAAACATACCCCACGAATTAAACAGTATCATATTAAATTCGTTTTGCTGATTGGGCAGACCTCCCCTAAAAACTATACTAACTAATACCGACACCCATTTTTAATAAAATATAATTTAATATAATCGTTTTATTTAAATAAATATGTTATCTTGTAAATTGTGTTTATTTTTATATGCTAATAACTTTTTAAAAAAACGAGCGACGGCTAAAACCTCTTGGATGTTACTCAGGAGGTTGACCTTGACAACATATGTCAAGGTCAAAGTCATCGGAGCTACCTCCCCTAAACGTAAGGTTTACCAATTGTATAATTTATTAAGTGTACAAATATATTGGATAATCCAAATTTTCTTAGGCAGTTATAAAATCATACAGCTAGTTAAAACAAAAGATAGTTTAGCGAAAGGCCCAACATAACTTTCAAAAGTATTCAATTCAGTAGATTCGAAAATGGCAACAGATAAGGTGCATATCCGACACTGCATTCTTTACGAATTCCAACAAGGGAAAAATGTTGCATGAGCATGCGAATTCGATTTGTTCCTTTCTCGATGAAGGTGTTGTATCGTATGATGTGTGCACATTTTGGTTTAAGCGGTTTAAAAGCGGTGATTTGAGTCTAATCGACAAACAACGCCCTGGAGGCCCTCGGAAGTGCGACAACGATGATTTGGAACAACTGCATGCTGAGAATGCGGCACAAACGCAAAAAGAACTTGCAGAACAGTTAGGAGTAACCCAGCAAACGATTTCCAAACGCCTACGTGAGATGGGAAAGATTCAGAAAGAAGGAAAATGGGTTCCGCATGAACTCACTGCAACCAACAAAAATCAACGCGTGGCAGCGTGTCTTTCTCTTCTCAATAAACAGCGTTGAAAGTCTTTCTTGTGGAAAATCGTTACGGGCGATGAGAAGTGGATACTCTATATCAATCCAAAATGCAGAAAGTCATGGGTAAATCCCGGCGAAGCATCAACATCGGTTGCAAAACCCAATCGCTTCAGAAAGAAGGTTCTTCTCTGCATTTGGTGGAATATCAAGGGCGTGGTTTATTATGAGTTGTTGGAACCGGGTGAAACAGTTACTATGGACTGCTACCAACGTTAATTAATCTGCTTGAGTCAAGCATTGGAACGAAAACGTTCGTATACTGGCAAAGGAGTACGTCCAGTGAAATTGTTGCATGACAACGCCAGGCCGCATATTGCCTCCCATACAAAAGACACCATAATAAGTCTTGGTTGGGACGTCTTGCAGCACCCGGCGTATTCATCAGACATTGCTCCATCTGATTATCACCTGTTCCGGTCGATGCAACACGTCTTATCCGATATGCACTTCCAATCAGTGGATGAGATCCAAAAATGGCTTGACGACTTTATCGAGTCCAAAAACGTAAAATTTTTCCGAGATGGAATTCATCAGCTACCTGAAAGATGGCTTAAAGTTATAGAAAGTAACGGCGAATACTTTGATTAAACAATTCAATTTACTTTCTTTTAAAATAAACATTGAATGTGGCTAAAAAAATTGGATTATTCATTTGTACACCTAATAATTACTGTTAATTTTTTTGTATTTTATAAAGCGAAGGCAAATTATTATAATTTGGTTATTCCAAATTACCTACACCCTAACAAAATTGTTGCTTTATCTAATTTTTCAATCAGGTCAAAGTTTTAGACACTCTTAATTTGTCATTGTAGTACAGTCCCTGGCCATCGAATTAGGACCACTTACGAAAATTTCACTTTTATGCCTATAACAGTGTGTCATATATGGAAAATTGTCTTAGGTCATTTAAATTATTACTAAATACGTTAATAATGATGTTTACATAACAATTGATTTGTTACTATCGTGGTAATAATCAAATTGTGTGGGTGACGAGCGATTAAGGTCCGCTCCAGCGGCTACGTTAGACTCAAGTGTCGATAACGCGTGAGGTCAGATTTGGAGAATTCAAGATTTGTTTGTATATACATGATGAGAATGTGTTGCACATATGGATGAGAGATCTTTAAATGTTCAAATGACGAAGAAGAGAATCAGTTGAGACTGAATCGTTGAAGCGTTCATAACAAGTCAGCGTTAAGAGTTTTAGTAAGTGCATTTTATGAAATATGGGAAAACGACAGGACATTACTAGTGAGAAAAGGGCCTATATATGTGGTCTTCTGAAAAGTGGCAACTTTTCGCAGCGACAAATTGCGAAAAATGCTAATATTTCGCATCAAACAGTGATGAGAATCGCCAAATGCATGAAGGAGAATGGGCCGCAGTTTTCAAACAAACGGTCATCCTGTCGCGGTAAACGAAAAACCACACCGAGAACAGACCGAAAAATTATAAAAACTGCACTAGAAAACCGTCACGCGACTACAAGAGTACTGGTGCAACGTCTTAAGAACGATGGAGTGGATATATCTGAGAGAACATTCAGAAGACGTTTATACGAAGCCAATATCAGATGCAGGCGACCAGTAAAAAGACCGAAATGAACGCCAAAAATGAGAAAATCTCGATTGGAATGGGCAGAGGCTCATTCCAATCTTAGCATAGCAGATTGGGAAAAGGTAATTTAAGAAAATCATTTTACGACTCTAACTATATTTTCAAATTTTTACAATTTCTTCATATTTATTAGGTCATCTTCAGTGATGAAACACGGTTAGAAACGGTTACGGAAACAGCTCAATTTGTCCGAAGAAGGTCACATGAGCAATTCCATCAAGATTGTGTGGTGCAATCGGTAAAACATCCACAAGCAGTGATGATATGGTCCTGTATAACAATTGAAGGACCAGGCCCACTTTATTTTGTTAATGGAACTATGAATGGCAAACAGTACGAAGATGTCATAGAGCCCCGATTGCTTCCATTTTACACATCTGTAGGATCACAATATACGTATATTCACGATGGAGCACCATGTCACAGAGCCAAATCCGTTAAAACCTTGCTTTCATCAAAAAATATCCCTTTGCTCCCATGGCCAGGCAATTCTCCCGACATGAATGCTATAGAAAATGTCTGGAACCTACTTAAAAGAATAGTTTATGAATCTCCAAGCACCACATTACTACAGTTGAAAACAAAAATTACAGATACATGGGAAAATAATGAAGACATAAAGCATATGATCAAGCAATGTATACGGAGCATGTTGGAAAGGATACAAGCTGTCATCAAAGCAAAGGGTGGAAATACAAGATATTAACGTGTGTTAACAGTATTATGTACAGTAGTTAATAAATTATATTATTACAATTTCAAAAAGCATTTTAATTTTACGGAAAACGCGAAAAATGCTTAAAATTTGTAGTGGTCCTAATTCGATGGCCAGGGACTGTAGATAAGATTGAATAATAAACAGCACGACCAGCGTGGTGGAGTGGGGATTGACGACCGACCCAGTAAGGCCAGGAGTCAGTCGTTACCGAACCACCGTGCAGGTGGTACCTGTTACCTATTGCTACCGTAATCTTAGGTAACAACGTCGCAACGCGAGTGTCTACAGTCGATTATTGAAAGTTTGAAGTCTAGTATGTTTATTAGTTTTGTGCCATAATGTTGTTATTCGTCCTAAACAAATTGGTATTTTAAATATGCTGCACTTCCTTTACTCTGACGAAACGCACGGAAGATCAAGATCAAAAGTCGCGTCGCGACACGACGATGTTTACCTCTTTCCGATAACCTTTATCAATGAAGAAAAATCACGCTTCCGCGCGCGGTTATCGCATTCGAAGGAAAATCGGCACTAATCATTGCGTTTGACTTCGACAGCACTCAACGGTGAACCAGAACTTATTCCATCAAAGATAATTACAATCTTCTTTCTTCCGTTGCCAACTACCGATGTTTCTAAATTTCTCATCGTTTACGATTTATGCGAAACGCGCCAAGAGCGTCTTTCGTTGACTCTGAATATACAAAATTCTGAACAATGCATATTTCACATCGAACCAATCGTTACAAAGGACAATGTTAAGTCATAGAGGGGTTTACTGACCCAAGAGCGTACAGCCTATGCTATACACCGTTGGAAAGGTCTCGCCAAAGCGAATCGACTGATACCGTTTTTAACTTCGATATCAGATGGGATCATGTCGAAAAATGGCCTTAAAGTTCGAGATTTTGCGGTTTTGAACAAAAGAATCCGGTCGTAAAAGCCCATCCGGCCCGAGGGACCTCGGGTAGGCACCTGAGGGAAAACCGAGCGGTGTAAGCGATACTCTAGCAGATTGGGACGGCAAATGTGCCCCACCACCTTCATTTCAGTGCCGTGTTGGGCCTGCGTTTGCCGCATGGGCCCCGTTCGAAATGCCCAGGGCGAAATCGCCAATGGATCAGTTGTTTTTCATGAACATAATATATTCATGATAGACGATTCGCAGGTATAAGTTGGGAATGTGCAGGTTAGTATTCAGACTAATGCGTCACTTACAATAGTGAATGGAGTGACATTTTATTGATTGAACGAAACATAATGATGTGAATACTGAATAATAACCTGCACATTCCCAACTCATACCTGCGAATCGTCTATCATGAATATATTATGTTCATGAAAAACAACTGATCCATTGGCGATTTCGCCCTGGGCATTTCGAACGGGGCCCATGCGGCAAACGCAGGCCCAACACGGCACTGAAATGAAGGTGGTGGGGCACATTTGCCGTCCCAATCTGCTAGAGTATCGCTTACACCGCTCGGTTTTCCCTCAGGTGCCTACCCGAGGTCCCTCGGGCCGGATGGGCTTTTACGACCGGATTCTTTTGTTCAAAACCGCAAAATCTCGAACTTTAAGGCCATTTTTCGACATGATCCCATCTGATATCGAAGTTAAAAACGGTATCAGTCGATTCGCCTTGGCGAGACCTTTCCAACGGTGTATAGCATAGGCTGTACGCTCTTGGGTCAGTAAACCCCTCTATGACTTAACATTGTCCTTTGTTAACACGCAACCAAACCTGATCGCACACAGAATCACTGTAACCGCCCCGAGCATCGACTTCGAGCGATTCTCTGTCCAAACTAAGATAACGAGTTTAAATCTTGAATAAAAGTTTAAACATGTATGTTCAAGTCAGTTTACTTTCTGTCGCGAAAAGAATAAATTCGCTATACACGCGTCGATCGACAAGTTCGAACTTCTTTAATTTCAGTCCGATTTGGTAAAACACGCGACTTGATGATCACTTTAATATGCACAACCTCAGCCGTCGACTAGTTTGCAAAAAACACGACGGATGCGACTTGGCGTCGATCCCAGAGGCTCTATACGACGCATGTTTCGCGGTAGTGGGGCATCCCCGATGACGCCTCCGCTTAATCGCTTCATTCATATGGAATATCCGCGATGCTGCGTACAGAAAACCAGCAGAACGAAGGAAGAAAAGCGGTTTGACATCTTTCCCGCGACGATGCCGTCTATTTTTTATTCGATCGCCTAATTTGTGTCGTAAAACAACAATTCCGAAATCGTACGATGTACAATATAGCTGTGCGCATTGAATAATTTTTGAATAAAGTGAAATAAAAATACGCTGTCAACGACAGTTTTCTACGTTGAGCTAATTATCCAGGTTCAACGAGAACTGGTAGGAAATATAAACAAAAAGTTCACATGATCGACGCTGCGGGCACAGATAAAAGGGACTTCACATGACGCGTTAAATTCAATCGAGATGGTTTGATCGCAAGTTAAAAATTAGATTGCAGCAAATAATACAACGTTTAGATTTGCGGATGTAAAAAATGTATTCCACGAGTAATTGTAACATGTTACGATTGAAAACTGGAGAAAATGCATTGGACATGTTATCCAAGTTATTGAACACAAATTTTGGCAATTGAATCATAATATTGATACATTCACTGACTCATCTATAATTAATTTAAGTTCTGACAATTCAAACACAGATTCAACGTAGATTGTATACAGGGTGTTCGGTCACCCCTGGGAAAAGTTTTAATGGGAGATTCTAGAGGCCAAAGTAAGACGAAAATCAAGAATATCAATTTCTTGACTGAGGCTTCATTAAAAAGTTATTAAAACATTTCAAATCATTCTGAAAAAATTATTTTTGGTTACAGGGCTCAATTACAATCACTTTTGGTGAAGACACAAGATAACGCATATTTTAGTGGAGTATATGTAGAAATTCTAACAATATTGAAGTTGTTGTTCCTTGGCATCATAAAGTGAGAAAAACCCCCTAAAACTGGTCCAATTTTCAAACGGCCATAACTCCTACAATAGTAAAGGTATCTCATTGAAATTTTTGTTTGAAGCAGAGTCCATGGGTACTTACAAAAAAGTATTAGACAACTTTTCTGTAGAGCGTCAAACAAATTTATTAAAAATGAAAAACTTATTTTTAAGAAAAATCGAGGTGCCTAAATTTTTTGACGAAAAAAAAATTTCATATCGTTCTGAGAAAATTATTTTCGATTGCGGGGGTCAATTACAATCATTTCTGATCATTAGACATACCCTCGAAATCCTATCCACTTTCGAGAAAAAAATTCGAGTAGATAGATAAATTTTTCGGTAAAATTAAAATATTTCAAATCATTCTGGAAAAATTATTTTCGGTTGCGGGGGTCAATTACAATCATTTAAGGTGAATACACATACCCCTGAAATCCTACCCACTTTCTAGAAAAAAATTCAGAACGGGCGGAACTTTAAACGTTAATAACTTTTTAACGAAGCCTCCATCAACAAATTAGTATTCTTGATTTTCGTCTTATTTTGGTCTTTAAAATCTCCTATTAAAATTTTTCCCAAGGGTGGCTGAACACCCTATACATATAGTAATAAATAGATAAATTAAATGTTGAAATATAGGTTTCCATACTTTAATTTGTATTTTCATTTGCCTCCTTAAATACCATTGGACATAAGATGGCGAGTTATGGGCCCCATGATATTCATGATTAAAGTTGGCCATACGCAAATCTCCAGTAAATATAATACTTGAAGTCGTACCACTTGATTTTAACATAACGTATCAACCTACGCAACGAACCCTTTTTAAACACGAAATACTTTAAGATTATTATATGTATAGTATACGTATTTTATATCCTAATATCATAATTAATTATTTTTATGTACTTACAAGAATGACAAGCATGTGAAATGTAAAATCATTTCCAAAGAATTATATAAACTTGTTATTATTATTACAATAGTAGTGGCAAACAAATGGCCGATTTGGCCTTGGCTATTAAAAGTTCTAATTATGCTACGTAGTACTTTTATCTAAAACATAAGCAATCAAACAAGAAGATACTATATTTTGAGTTAGGAAAAACGATATAATAAAATGCATAAATATAATATATGCTTAGAATATATCAATTATTATATTATTAATTTAAAACGTTCTTGAATCTCTAATTTACTTTGCTTAATTAATTTCTTTCGAAAATGATCGATTGTTACACGTGGAAAACTATTCTTATGAACATTGTATTTGCGATGTGACATATCAATTTTTCAAATAACGCTTTGAAATTTAGACAACAGTTGCATAAAAAACCTGTACCTTGACAACACAAATCAAGATTGTTGAATCTTATTCGACGAACACTATTATTGTACAATATTACGTCATTCACGAACGATTATACGCTTAAGTGTTCGCTAATGAAAAATTTCCCCGTAAAATTGTTAACATATAATCGTGGCTTATTTAAGTATGAAACTGCTTCACACTTTATGGGACACGTTCCCAAAACTTTTGAACTGTATATGAATTTTTATTCATATCAACATTTCTATTCTGTATTAGAACAAAATTCGTCTAATGATATTTAAGACATTTGTTTGACTATACTTCGTAAAAATATGCAGAATTTTAAAATGTGTTATACTACAATCATAAAATTTGATTTAAATGGATTGATTCTCAAGGAAATTTCATTATTCGTTGCACTAACTTCCCTTAACTTTATTGCAACCTTTATTAAATACATAGAAGTGCTTATACAATCTTGGTACAAGTTCCGTGACAGCAATGATTTTTTAGGTGTCAATGTTGCAAATGTCTCATTGATCAGTTTGCAATGAATCATCAAACTCAGAAAAAATATTATATCTCTCAGAACGGATTGGTTCATAATCCCATACAAAAATATCTATCTCTTGCAATAATATTATTAAAGGCGATATACTGGGAATCCCCAAAACCACAAATATAGCACTTACCGGTAATAAGTAAACCAAGGAAAACGTAAATTTCAATATTATTATACATTTATCGCGAAAAAATTTATCTTTCGATATATGTATACAGCAATTGCCACTTACAATCGTACATCTAGTTATTCGATTCATTTTTGTTTATAAATCACGAAAATGGTAGTAAATGTTTGGAATTCATATACAGGAATATAGTCTGATATTTCTTTATTTGATACGTAACATAAATTTAACACAAATTCTAGTAATATTCAGCAAATTAAATAAAATTTACAGTTATGTATTGATCTTATCAGTAAAAATCGTACATAAGAAATGAGATACATGTTTAGAAATTGTAACATAAATTATTAATATTAATATTTAACTACAGTACCATAATATATTAATTGTTCTGTAAACATGAGTACAACTTTTAAAGAAACATAAAGATTAAGGAGAAATTGTTTCGTGAATATAATAAATTAATATTACGATAAACTTAATCTTTAATGTTATTTGAAACTTACCCTAATTATCTTTCTCTATGTCTTCAGTCTTTCCTATTTTTCTATTCGCAGCAGAAATTTAGAAAAAATATTGTGTAGTTCAGTGAATAAAAATATGACACGAAAGTCTCGCACATACTTCTATCGTGGAAATATATGCGAAGAATTCTCTATTCACGCGAAGCAATAGAAATGACACGTGTTCGCGTTCCAAACGATTTTTTTTTTTTTAATTCTTTGCACGTGACGCTTAGCATTGTATGGCAATTGTTTCATAATGTCTGCGAAAAATACAGCATAGAATTCCACATTAGTAAAAATTGTCTACCCTTGTTCTTTCATCTACTTTTTATTAATATGTAACATTCAGTAACTTGAATAAATGATAGACAACTATAAATTAATCGCGAATTATATTAAATACGAATGTCTCGAAAATGTAATACATTCTAAATGCTATTAGGTCTGGATTAAGTATAATCATCAAAATTGTTTTCAAAGATATAAAAACAATACTTTGTTTAAAATAATAACACTAATGCGACACACAGTTTTAAAATTTCTTAAATTCGAATTTATACAAAAATCGATAAACTCCTTGCAGACGTACAAGTAAATGCGTATATATAATACTTTGATCAGTAAATACGTATACATAATTACATTCACAAAAATGGAGGAAAATACGTCTTCTGGGAAATTTATACTTTTCATTCGTCACTCTTATCACGGATAAACAATATTATATAAATAAGGATGTTTCTAGTATCTTTGTACCTCCGTTATTTTTGTCGATACGAAATTTGACTCAAAGTTAAAGATATTACGATTCGTGTTTTTTTTTTTTCAAGGTCATTTTTCCGAGGTTTGAAGGTCACGGCCATTTTTTCACATTAGCATATATTCTTATTATAGAAAAATCTTCCTTCGCAAAGTTCTTCCCGTTCGTTCCTTTTTTACTTATTTCTCTCTTTGTTCAATTTAAACATTCTTTTTTGTATTTAATTTCAGATCGTGAGTTACAGACATCGTTTAAAACAACGAATCATTATTTATAATCTTAACCGATCGAGCCGGTCTTTACTCGAGCAAACAAAAATTGCTTGGATTCTTTATAATTTAAAATAAACAAAGACTCGATAAAGCATCTAACCGGCAAAACTCGTTTTCGTCAGTTAACATGTTGACTGACACGATGGTCACTGATGACCGGCACTTTAAACTTGCGTGTTCCAATATTGTTTATAATCGACGAACCCTAATAATTGTAAAATTGTAGATAACGCTACTTTAATTGGGAATACTGTAAAATAACACCATTAAATTATCCAATAATTTGGCGTGACAGTCAACGTGTTAAGTAATAGAATAATATTTGTTAAACTAGAAGAAACAATACATTGTAAGGTACTCACCCGGACATGTCTGCCACTGTTTCTTTCAACGATATCCAAATAATATTTGCATCGAGCGAAATGCATTACTTCACAAAAAGTCGACATCATTGAAACGGAATCTACGGACAGGTTCAAAATAAACATCAAAATTACTATTAGGAAGGATAGTACTAGTACATAGTACATAGTAAATAATTTCTGACTTACTTGGTTACGCGTGACATGTTTGTGAGCATACTTTAATGGTGTCTGGCAGCGGTTGAAACAACTCCTAGAACACTCGACGAACTTCCGTTTTCCTGTCTTGCGACCTTTTCTTCCCGTTTCTAGGAATAACATAGTCAAATGTATGAAACATATGTAAGCGATTTATTATTCATGATTAACTCGGAACACTTGAACGCGCGTGGATCACGATCAAGTTACAATACACCTTTGACGTGGTAAAACGGGAGATGTTTACGACACCTCAATGGCAAATACGATGCTCCAATGGCGAATTTGTATACAGAATTCTGTACACAATGTTTCATAGTATGGGGATATAAATTCAATAATACCAGTTTGTTTAAGATGAATACAAATAAATACATGAGTAAAAATAAAAACAAAAATGTATTTGTCGAATAAGAAATATTTTATTCCAGTTTTTTTCATTTAAATATAGTGCAATGATTCTTCGCGCGTATTTCAATAATTTTAATTTGAAACAGCGCGCTGTCGTTAATACGCATGCGCAACGAAATCATCTGTCAGAGATTTCTAAAGAATTTCGCATAAAAACATTTAAACATAACCTTCAACGTTTTAAAGTTGTTGACGAATAGTGTCCTTCCTTGATTTTCGTAAGTGCGCATTAAAATTAGCATTTGCTGTAAAGAAACACAATGGAAGAGATGGATGTGGAAAATGAAAAGAACAGCGATAAAAGTTCGTGCGAGGATTTATCCGACAGCAAAGGCGACGAGTTAGAAGTAGTTGAGAATGAAACCGAAGAAACAGGAATCATCGAATCTACCGATGAACAGGACGAAGATGATGATGAAGAAAATGACGACGAAGAGGATGCCGACGAGGCGGAGGTAAAAGTTTTGGAGGCCTGTCTTGCTCAGAATCCATATGATTACGCGAGTCATGTAGCCATTATCAATAAATTGCAAAGAATGGGTGAATTGGAACGGTTACGTGCCGCCAGAGAAAACATGAGCTCCAAGTATCCCTTGAGCCCCGAACTCTGGTTATCCTGGATTCGGGATGAAATTAAATTAGCCACTACGCCGGAACAGAGAGCCGAAATAGTAAAACTATGCGAACGTGCTGTCAAAGATTACCTCTGTAAGAATGATTTTATTAATTTCATTACGTTCGTTATCTGTATTCTATACAACTAAATTTTTTATTATAGCCGTAGAAGTGTGGCTAGAATACTTGCAGTTCAGTATTGGTAATATGGGCACTGAAAAAGATTCAACAAAGAATGTCCGGCAATTATTTGAGCGAGCATTAACAGATGTTGGATTGCACGCTATTAAAGGTGCCATAATATGGGAGGCGTTTAGAGAATTCGAACTTGTTTTATATGCACTGGTAGGTATAACCAATTACAGAATGTTTTACATTTCCGTTTAAAAGCATATTTTCATATTTAGATTTCAAATGTTTAGATTGATTCCACAAATCAAGCTGAAAGGAAAGAGCAGCTAGAGCGTATTGGGAATTTATTCAAAAGACAGTTAGCTTGTCCTCTATTAGGCATGGAAAAAACATATGAGGAGTATGAAATTTGGCATAGCGGGGATGGTGCAGAAGCTGTTATTGACGATAAAATTGTAATCAGAGGATACGAACGAGCATCCGCGCAGCTCAATGCTCGTTTACCTTATGAAGAGAAAATTGTTTCGTCAGATGCTGAAAGCGAACTTTTAGATTCATATAAAGCATATTTGTTACATGAAAAACAAAACGGAGATCCAGGACGAATATGTGTTCTGTATGAAAGAGCCGTCACTGACCTCAGTTTAGAAGTGTCACTTTGGCTCAATTATCTTACGTATTTGGAAGAAAATATAAAAATTGAATCTGTGTTAGATCAAGTATATCAACGAGCTTCAAGAAATGTTCCTTGGTGTGCAAAAATATGGCAAAAATGGATGAAGTCGTACGAGAAATGGGGAAAACCGACATTAGACGTTCAAGCATTGCTAGAAAATGCTTTAAGAGCTGGATTTTCTACTGCAGAAGAATATCGAAATCTGTGGATAGCGTATTTGGAATATTTACGACGGAAACTCGATCGAGATTCCACCGACGAAGAGAAGCAGTTGGATATATTACGTAATACGTTCAATAGAGCTTGCGAACACTTAGCAAAATCCTTCGGTTTAGAAGGAGACCCGAATTGTATTATATTACAATTTTGGGCAAGAACTGAAGCTATACATGCCAATAACATGGAAAAAGCTAGATCATTGTGGGCTGATATCTTGTCGCAAGGACACTCCGGAACAGCATCATACTGGTTAGAATATATTTCTTTAGAAAGGTAAATCCTTACTTTACTTTAAATATATGTAACATTTTGTATTTTACAAACGTAACAATATGTAATATTTTATAATTTAACATTTACATGATATAATGTACATATTTATATTTAAAATGGAATACAACATTTTACGAAGCCTTTACAAGCATCATACTTTTCAGTTTGTGATATGAAACCATATTTAGAAATTAACAAAAATATATGATTTATGAGTGGAGCAAAAATGATATCTTTTACTTTCTTATAATTCTACTTTACAGCTTGTGTTTTTTTCTGATATATGATTTTAGTTTCATTTATATTGTTTTAAACTAGAAGAAATTTCTCAAAATATATTCTATAATTCAATACAATATTGTTTCGTGTACAGATGTTATGGAGATACAAAACATTTAAGGAAATTATATCAGAAAGCTCTGGCTTCTGTAAAAGATTGGCCGGAAAGCATAGCAAATACTTGGATAGACTTTGAAAGGGACGAAGGAAGTCTGGAACAAATGGAACATTGCGAGGTAAAAACAAAAGAGAAACTAGAGAAAGTAGCAGAGGAAAGACAGAAAACACAACAAACTTCAAATCATAAGCTATCACCTTTGCAAAACAAAAAGACTAATAAAAGGAAACCAGACGATGGTGGTAGATGGAAAAATTTAGGAGGTTCGCCTACAAAGATTACGAAAGTCGAAACACAAATAAAACCAAAATTAAAAGAAAGCCGTTTAAACTTTGTAAAAAAGATCGGCGATGATAACGAAGAACAAAAGCCGAAGATTGCTCCACCACCTGGTTTCAAAGCGCCAGAGAATGATAAGATGGAAATAGATAATACTCCGGAAGTCGATGATAAAATCACGGTTTTCGTAAGTAATTTAGACTACACTGCAACCGAGGAGGAAGTCAAAAATGCTTTAGAACCAGCTGGATCCATTACATCGTTTAAGATGATACGAGATTATAAAGGACGTAGCAAGGGTTATTGCTATGTGCAGCTAAACAATCCGGTATGAACTATTATCTTTCTATTAAAAAATTATATGTTACGTACAATCTCGTGCAAATATAATCTTTATAGGAAGCGGTTGAAAAGGCTTTAAAATTGGATAGAACTCCTATAAAAGGACGACCAATGTTTGTTTCAAGATGTGATCCAAACAAAACAACGCGAACGCCAGGGTTTAAATACAGTCACTCCCTCGAAAAGAATAAACTCTTTGTTAAAGGTATAACATACGAAAATTAAATTTGTAGTTTCATAGTCAAGATAAAAATTTGAATTTTACAATAAGAAATTAGATAAATCTTCTTTTTACAAATCAAACAGGCTTGCCGTTAACGACAACAAAAGAGGAGCTCGAGGAAGTCTTTAAAGTTCATGGAACATTAAAAGAAGTTCGCATAGTTACTTACCGTAACGGTCATTCAAAAGGACTAGCTTACGTTGAATATGAAGATGTAACTACTGCCGGAAAGGCTCTCCTAGCTACCGATGGAATGAAAATCGGCGACAAAGTTATAAGCGTGGCTATAAGCCAACCACCTGAACGGAAGAAGGTTCAAACGATGGAAGAAACGCCTTTAATTAAGTCTCTAGGTGGCACCACAGTAAAACGAACGTTTGGTATGCCTAAAACGTTATTGTCTATGGTACCTCGTACTGTTAAAACCACTGCCACAAACGGCAGTGCAAATGTGGCTGGAAATGGTGTTCCACATAAAATGAGTAATCAAGATTTTAGAAACATGTTACTGAATAAAAAATAATTTGTTACCGTACAAGTGGTTCTTAAACATGTTGTTTATTTGAATTTGTGATTTTTAAGATACGTGTACCACAAATTGCCATATTTGGCACAAGTTTTCGCGTGATATCACATTTTCTAAACACAATCTACGTGATGTACAAAAAGTTAGCAAAGCACTAGAAAAATTCTCCATGAAATTCTTTCTTCTAACTGTCCGTGTATATTTACAAAAAGTATTCGGTAATAAAGTTAGAAATGTTAAGGATAAAATGGGGAAACCAGGAACCACTACTTGATAGAAAATAAATACATTTAATGTAAGATAATTTATATACACAAGATAAAAATGTGTGTCAGGCGCGTGCACGCATTACACTAAACGCAATTGGAAACAACTTTCCTATCATACAGACATTACAGTGTTACAAAAATATTTCGAAATGCGCACGATAGAAAAATCGTTCAAAATAAGCGAGGGCAGTTACACTGTAAGTAAATCGTAATAACAAATCAGGACCATCATTCGTATCGTTCTAAACGATGAATCTCGTTCTAGTTTCGTTTACGAAACTATAATAAAATCACTATAAAATGTTCTTGACATGGAATTCACAGAACGGTTGTCACAAGGATACGTTAAATTTTTTCATCCATTTTACATTCTTCATGCTCGTTCTACGTGAAATACCAATAATGTCTCTCTACAGCTGCAATGGTGCATTGGATGTGTGTCTTTTATGCCTTGGTGGAGCGACTGGTGGACTTTCAGGTGCCAGTAATCGCCTCGCCATAAGCCACTTTTTGGCTCTGCCAGCGTGATAGTAGTAGGAGTAAAGCAATGCCATAGCCGCCAGCACAACCAGCAGGCACGTACCAGCGATAACGACACTGAATAACCAATAAGGCCCAGTTGGTTTCGGCACCAACGTTGGCTCCGTTGGTGATTTTTCGCCAGGAACTAAATCTGTTGGTTCCTTTGGCGGTCTCGGTGGTAAGGGCTCCACATCGTCTCCGATTGTGATGTCGGCACAAGAACGGAATTCTTCTTGCGGGCCACAACCTACAGCTCCTACGAACAAATTATTAAACGTTACCTTCCATACAGACGAATTGAAGGTTATCATTTATGCACGTACGTACACCGAACCATTAAAGTCGATTTTCTTATAGAAGAAAAACATGTATAGGTGATATTAATGTTGCACGAATTTTAATACATGATGTTAATACACAAATACACGTACTTTACCTACTGCTCCTTATTCTATACGATATTAACAATCGTGAGACGGTGCCGTGTCACGTTTGACCCAAGACAAATTCGTGTACTCAGATATTATAAAATAAAGTGTACAAGGTTTTATTGAATTGAAAATTAATTTTAAACGTTTAAGCAATATACAGGGGTTTGACCACCCCTGGGAAAAATGTGAATGAAAAATTCTAGAGGCCGAAATAAGACGAAAATCAAGAATACCAATTTGTTGATTGAGGCTTCGTTAAATAGTTATTAATGGTGAAAGTTGCGCCTGTAAATAGGCAACCTGCGTACAGCTGCGTACGCGCGATAGTGGTTCTCACTCAGCATGAGAAACTCTACTTAGTGACGTATCGACAGCCTTACAGTTTTGTGAGAGAGAACCACTATAGCAGCATATGGAACTTTAAACGTTAATAACTTTTTAACGAAGCCTCGATCAACAAATTGGTATTCTTGATTTTCGTCTTATTTTGGCCTCTAGAATCTCCCATTAAAATTTTTCCCAGGGGTGGCCGAACACTCTGTATACTTATTGCCAAATTAAAGGTATTTCATACAAATGTTTTAGTATTATTCTTATTACAACTAAGGGGTAGACATGACCTGGCACTGTTGATGGATTGTTAATACATAGTATTTTCGCGTTGAAAAGTTGACTCAACTGTATGATAGATATAAATCTTTGTTTCTCAAATATAATTCTAAACATACTTATTCACTACTCGATATTTGTAATTTAATATTTTTGTATGTAAAATGATGAATCAGATTATGCGAAAACAGTGTATGGGTTTACATTAAAAAAAAGAGCAATTGCCTCCTACAAGTGCATTGTTTACGTCGCTACTATAATAAAATCAGGGTTAGTACATTGCGCAGTTATAAGCAAATACTTTTTTTTTTTTAATATGTACCAAAGATGTACATATTTACTCAAATCGAGATGCATTTAATTTATTTTTCTCAATTTTATGTAAACGTGAAACAATTGAAGTAAAAATAAATTTGAATTTTTTTGGAACAAGTAGTAGTTTGAAATTCCCGATATAAACGTATAAAACAGCATTGAAAATTTTTTAATAATGTTTGTGTGTGAAATTTGAAAGTTATAAAATGATGCATGCAGAACCATGCGGAATACTAATAATCATGAAGCAATCGTGCAATGCCCATCCTAATTGTGTAATGTTCATTACATGCAAACAAAATAAGAAAACTTTCCAACTGTATCGTGATAGAATACTAACATTATTTCGCATTATTTTTTATGCGATCATCGGTATTTATAAAAAAAATAAATTGTTTTATAATAAAATAATATGTTGGTTTATGCGTATGCAGAGTGTCCCAGTGCAGTGGCAAATATGAAGATGGATTCAAGTCTCCAAAAACAATAAAAAGTAAATGTCACGTGTTGCCAAAACAAAAAAACAATGTTCAAAATTGATATGTTTGGAAGTTCGTTATGGAACGAATTGAAATATCGTTCAAGATTTAGGATTTGTAACAAGATTCGTGCGAATCGGAGCTTTCTTTCGATTAATGAGATTGATAATAAGAGGAGTACACTGATCCGGAGTTAAGTAGAACAGAAGTTCGTCATTCAAAATGTCGTTTGCTAGTTCGTTTATCTAAAGCCCGAGCCTGGGCTTCGCCTATGTAAATGTAATTCTCGCGATAACTCTCGCGTACTTTCATTTACGAACTTCAACGAGAGATTCATTCTGCAGATTTGCTGACGTAGCAGCTTTAGCAATACCTGTTCCGTTTCCACAGTCGCCCCAATTATTTCCAGCTATGTATCTCCATTGAAAGACGCATTGAGTGCAGGTCAGGTCGTCTGGCAATTTGTAGAAAGCCTCGAAAATCTTATTCCCTGGCCCTGGATAATATCTGATCGACCCGTTCTCCGCGCGGAGGAGATATTGGTCCAAACAATCCTGGTTGACTTCTTTGTCCCTGTAGGTCATCGCGCACGTACGAAACTCGAAGTAGCCATGGTGATTCGCCGTGAGCTCCACTCGGACTGGTATCAAGGAACCGGTTCGATATTTTCTTACTATCACGCCGTTTCCGTATTTTCCACCTGTCTCGTGAGCACGTGGCTGTAACAAAATCAATGCAACGATCATTTAATTACCTATTTTTTGGTGAAACGGAAAATTTTGCTTTTCGATAAAGATGAGATACAGTGAAAACTCGATAAATGTCACTACTCTGGGTCCGGTCAGAAACACTTATGGAATAGGAGAATCGTTTTTCGAATTTTATTGTAGTTTGCCGACGTCTCGAACATAGAAAGAGTCAGTAGCTAAAGAAGAAAGAGGGACTGAAAACTGGATTTATCGCCCCAGTTTAAATATCCGTGTCAGTGTGACTACACTACTACATAGAAGAAAGTTTTTTGTTTTTTACTTTTTGTTAATAAAAATTTCACTATCATGTGGGGGAGATTTTTCTGATTAAAACGAGACTAAACATGATATAAATCGGTCAATATTTGGTAGCATAATATTTAATTAAATATTGTACTTGCGAGTCTTTCTCTCTTTGTTTATCCTTCTTGTGCTGTCCTTTTCTATCTTCGGAAAGATCAAAGAACGACGGATCGAGGTGCTGGGTATATTTATCGAATAAGAGGTAGCTATTTTCAAACGGAACACTTCCACTGGCCCGTAAGTGACCAGAAACTGCAACACTTATGAGATAGGAGGTTTCGTTAGCTACGTCTGTTCAAGAAATGAGCCGTTTATTTTGAAAGTCAAACTAACTAACTAACTGCAAACTAACTAACTAACTGACAAACTAACTAACTAACTGGCAAACTAACTAACTAACTGAAAAACTAACTAACTATCTGCAAACTAACTAATTAACTGCAAACTAACTAACTATCTGACAAACTAACTAACTAACTGACAAACTAATTAATTTACTGCAAACTATCTAACCAACTGCAAACTAACTAACTAACTGCAAACTAACTAACTAACTGACAAACTAACTAACTAACTGCAAACGAACTAACTAACTGACAAACTAACTAACTAACCGCAAACTAACGAACTAACTGACAAACTAACTAACTAACTGCAAACGAACTAACTAACTAACTGCAAACTAAGAAACTAACTGACAAACTATCTAACTAAAAGAAAACTAGCCAACTAACTGACAAACTAACAAACAGGAAACAAATAGGAGGTTTCGTTAGTTACGTCTGTTCAATAAATGAGCCGTTTATTTTGAAAGTGGCCTAACTCCATTTTTCAATTTTTCCGGTTACCATGGTTACATGTACAACTTCATGATATTTTTCAGTAAAGCATTTCAGGTTGCTTATATTCCGAGCAAATACGATAATTCTTGACACATAAGTTTTCAGAGTTAGTTCAATAATTGAACCGTGTAGTTTGAAAGTGGCCTAACTCCATTTATACTTAAATCAAGATATTTAATGTTTACATGTACGTTTGGGATGAAACTATTGCATCCAGAGGTGCTCGAGAAATTGTTTCATGCATCCTAAAACATGTTAAAAATTTAAGAAGTGAAAGACACATTATAGCTTACAGTGACATGTGCGCCGGGCAAAATAGAAACATTAAAGTAGCTTTAATGTGGTTAAAAATTATCCAAACTTTGGAAAATAATGTGGAAATCATAGATCACAAATTTTTAATATCAGGACATTCGTTTTTACCAAATGATAGAGATTTTGGCGTGGTAGAAATGTCATTAAAAAAAAATAATTTACTGTTCGTTCCCCGAGATTATTACAAGATTATTAAAAAGTGTCGGAAAGGTAATAATTTTATTGTAAATGAAACAAGACAAGAAGATTTTGTATCAACAAAATTATTCGAAGACGCAATTTTTAAAAGGGTAAAGAATTCTGATGGAGAATCAATAAACTGGTTAAAAATATGTTGGATGCGTTTTGTCAGAAATGAACCGTATAAAATTTTCTATAAGACATCAATGAATGAGAATGAAAATTTGAAAGTCCTGAATTTATTACCACGTGGGGGTAGACCAAGAAAGTTGGAAAATATTGTATTGACACCACTGTATAAAAATATCAAACAAACTACAACAGTAAAATTCAAGGACATAACTGACCTATTACGATATATACCACCGGAACATCATGATTTCTTCAAATCCCTTTCACACGCACAAAATGTAGATGAGTAGTAAATTGTTTTGTAATAAATTTATGTTTGTAATTTTGTACGTTATGTAGTTTAAAAATGTTTTGAATGGCATAAATTTTGTTTCCAAAGTGTTTTAAAGATATGTAAAATAAATTCAGTATTGTTTTTTTCAATTTGAAGCATCTTAAATTATGTTGAATGGACTTGGGCACCTTCAAATTTTATAATGAATTCGGTTGTTAATTTTGAAAGTGGCCTAACTCCATTCTTGATAAGAAAAC